ATTTCATATAAAGAACTATTTAGCTGTGATAATAAGAGAGTAACTATAAAAGTGGAAAGGGAACTCTAAAGGGTACCCTAGTCTGAGGAAGAATCCCCAGCTAAGGAGGAGCTTGGAGGAAGGAGTTGAAATGCACTGAAGGTCTGGCTGCAGCCCATCGCACAGAGGAAACGCCTTCTGCTCCCAGGTCTCAGCAGGGCCACAGCCACAGGATACGCAGGAGCAACCCCCTGGAGCGTGGAGCCAGTGGGCAAGTGAGCACAGGGGCTTCTCTGTGGGCACAGGGCCAGATCACACAGTGTCGGCGTCTGGAGGGCTGCAGGAGACAAAGTCTGGGGCCCAGGTAGGCTGAGGCTGAGGGGTGGGCACCCCGATGAAGCCAGGGGCGCTGCCGCCAGTGCTGCTGGGACTGTGAGCTGCGGGAACCATCTCCGCAGGAACCTAGTACATCTCTATGGATGCCGCGGGCTGTGGCATCTTTGAGGCTGCATGGGACAGAGATGGGGCAAGTGGCTTACTAGGTGGTCAGCCCCACAGAGCACTCTCTGGGAAGGTGTGGAGAGTCGTGATCTGCGTTAGAGCCCAGGACTGTCAGGGGCTCCAGGCTGTTGCCACCGCCAACCAAATCAAGAGCTACAGAAGGGGTTGCGGGAGCAAATGCTAAAGAAAGCAGCTCCCACAGGCAACTAGCGCTGAAGAAACCATTCTGGGAGGAGCCCCGGAGGAAGACAGTCAGCTTCCCGGGAACCTGGCAAGCCAGCCCCTAAGAAATCAGGAAAGACCTGCTTTCCTCCTACAGCGCTTCTCCGGCGCCCTCTACCGGCAAAGCATGATATCATGTAGGCTGCAAAGGAAGCGTATTTCAATGCTCTCTCCTGCGGCAGCCGGGGCCCCAGTAAAGCCTAGCCTGAAAATAAATAATGGTTTCCACGTCCAGTTTCACAGAGCCAACAACAAAAAGTGAATTTGTACAGAGAGGCAATAAAATAACTGGTATGTCAACAAAATGCAAAGAAAGTGAAATTGGTCTATTAAAAAGATGAAAAGATGATAATATTAAATACTCAACAAATTACAGTGAGATGTACTGTACTCGGTACTTAGACTACTGGCTCAGTGGCAAAAAATAATGCAGGACACCTGGGTTTGATCTTTGGGTTGGGAATATCCCCTGGAGAAGGAAATAGCAACCCACTCCACTATTCTTGCCTGGGAAATTCCATGGACAGAGGAACCTGGTGGGCTACAGTCCATGGGATCATAAAAAGAGTCAGACATGACTTAGCGACTAAACAACAAAAGAGAAATAAATGACTATAACTTTCCTTGAAAGCAAATTTAGTAGTAAGTTTACCCTATAATTTTACTTGTAGGGTAAAATTACTTACTTATACTTACATATACTTACTTATACTATACTTACATATAAGTAAAATTACTTATATGAAAATAATCAGATGTACAAAGACACTATGTAAAGATGACTACTATTTATTGTGATAAAAGGAAGTAAATAGCCTAATGTTCAAAAATAGAAAAAAAGATTAAAGAAGGAAAAACATTTACCCATAGAATGTAATGCAGCTCTTAGAATTGTTTTCTAATAAATTTTAATTATAAGAGTAAATTCCTCTTATGTTAAGATAAGAATATAGATACAAATATCCAAAAGTGTGCTATCTATAAGATAATAGATGTTTTTATATGAATATATACTATTATTATATATATACATGTATGTATGTAGTATATATACTACAAACCAAAAGCATGTTAAATGTGGTTGTATCTGGTTTGTAGAATAAGGTATGGGTGATTCATATTTTTCATATTTGTTTATCTTATTAAATAATTTATAGTGAACATGTATTACTTTTTAAACCAGGAAATAGAAAATGTATGATTAAAAAGTTACCAACGAAAAAGTAGCAGGTGCATGCAATCACAGAGTTCTATTAGATGCAACAAAAGGCAAATAAGCTATTCAAGTGAGACATTAACATCACTGCAGTGGTAGTTTTGAATATGTCTGTGAAGGCTTTGATACTCCGCCTTTCAAGAGACTGAGTCTAATCCTCCTCACCTTGCCAACGGGATGGACTTAGTGACTCACCTGTAAGGAGCAGAGGCGAGCACAGTGCCAGCTGTCGCCTGGGGAGACTGGGTCATGAAACTCACTGCAGTGTCCTCCTTGCTTCTTCTCTTGGATTGCTTGCTCTGGGGGTGCCAACTGCTCATCCAGTGTAGCCCTGGGGAAACGCCAATGACAGGAGCCGAGTCCTTCTGCTAAAACCCAGCAAGGAATTGAGGTGTCCCCTCCACAGTCCACAGCCGTGTGAGTGGGCCATCCACTCAGCCCAGGCAAGCCTTCAGACTGCAGCCCTGTCTAAGAGCCTGCCTACAACCTCATGAGAGACCTGAGCCAAAACAAAGAGGAAACGCCGGCTAAACCACTCCTGGATGCTTGATCCTCAGAAAATGTGTGAGATACAAAATGTTTGGTGTAATATCCTGCTACATTTTAGGATAAGTTGTTACATAACAGTAGGTAACTGATAACAATTTCTGAGATGAAAATCTGTTCATTTCAAAGACATCTTTCTGTCATTCAAGAATATAAGCTTTTGTAACAGAACTATTCATCTTTGTTTTAAATGGTCCAAATATTTCACTACCAGTTACATATTAGTTCAAATTCAGTTCTAGATAATGTTAAACTGATTAATGGTAGAGGTCCTGTCACATTCATCTTTGTATAGTTTGCTGTATTTAATATTGTGTCCTTTGTATAGGATGTGCTCAATCAATCAAAGAACTGAATAAATTAATGAATGAATAAAAGAATGAGTGAATAAATTGTCTAAAATATTTTTATAAAATCCCCTGTAAGTATGCTTCCTTTTTCACAAATCTGATCTAGTAGCTAAAAATATATAGAAACTTTTTCAAATGGTTATTCTCTAATATGGTGCTGTATTTTATTATCTCTTGGCAGTATGAAATATACAGTTAGGCAGTGTTACTATGGAATTTTGTTTAGGGTTTTTCCACATGACTTCAAGCATTGAAGGAGAAAGAATTACATTTGCAAGGCAGTTGATGAGGTGGAAAAGATGGCAGATGTATCTATTATATTGAGAGATCTACATGTGAAAGGAAAGAAAGGAATAGGATGCAATTCAAGAGGGCAAAACCCTTCAACAGTATCCATTTGTCTTCTAAATAACAGCTAACCTATTAGACTGAGACACTTGAAACTGTCCATATTTGGCCTACAAAGGCAACAGTTTCATATTGTTCAAACTAACCTCACTTAGCCTTTGTCAAGCACTAGTTTAAGTGCCTTCCATAGTTCAACTCATTTAACATTTATTACACTTCCAAGAAGAAATTAACCTTTAAATCCAACTGTAAAGATGAGGAAAGTAAGTCATGGAGAGGTTAGGAGGTTTGCTAAACTCTTTAGTAGAAGACCAAGTCTCTAGAATCCTTGGTTCTACAGCTCCAGAATCCACACTATTAACCACAAGAGTACATGGCTTCACCCTACACTACACACCTTCAAATGGCAGTCTGTCTGTCTTCATTTGTAGTAAAGAAATAACAGTACCTACTTCATTATACAGTTTAGAAGTTACAGGAATAATACATTTGAAGGCTGGCACTTTGCATGGAAGAAGTGTATGGTAAATACTAGCTATTGTTATAACTAGGCTTCCCTGGTGCCTCAGACAGTAAACAATCTACCTGCAATATGGGAGACCAAGGTTCAATCCCTGGGTCAGGAAAAAGCCCTGGAGAAGGGAATGGGTACCCCAGTATTCTGCCTGGAGAATGACATGGATGGAGGAGCCTGGCAGGCTACAGTCCAGGGGTCCCAAAGAGTTGGACACAACTGATCTACTAATATTTTAATTGTAACTAAGCTACAATTGTTCCCACCTTGCATTGTAACCGAGGCTTTCACTGAGTCTTACTACTTTACTCTTGTCTTCAAACCCACCACGTGCATTTTCTAGTCACTGGCCAGGGTCACTCCTTCCATGAACTTTCCTGGTCTCTGGGGTAATGTGTGATCTCAAACCCCTGGGTTCTACCTTATAAGTTAGCTCTTGTGACACTGAAAATGTGAAACCTGCCCATTATAACAATTCCTCATGTGATTATATCTTGTTTGAATTCATTAGTGATCTGGTTGTATCATATTCATATCATTCCCTGCAATTCCCAGCACAGTTTATTGAACATAATAGATACTTCAATGTTTTTTGGATTTAATTTGCTAATATATATATAAACACATTGAAATTACTGGAGTGAGGAAAAACTGAAATCAAGTATAGGGCACTGAAAAGAGTATTACATCTTTTCTCTAATCAAAATTGTTCATTTAGTAAGCACTAAAATATCACTGCTTTTTTTTTTACTTCATTACACACACAAAAAAAAACAATCTGGAAAACTAAGTCCAAAGAATAAGTTCTTTATGTCTTTCTCCCAGGAGTTCTAGGGGAAAAAACTGCTGATACACATCATCATTGAAAGTTCAAGTTAATAGGAATATATTGGGATTCCTTGGTGACAGTGTCAGCATCACATATCTAGGGTAAAGATGAACGAGAATCCTGTTACAAAAGTAACTTTCTTACAAAACCATTTCATTCAGCTCATCAATAATCATTTTCAGTAGTGGTATGGATAGAAACCCTAAGTGGCACTTTGGATCTTCTTCATTCCAGAAACCCAGCAGCCAGGTCCCAGCTTGATGTGGCATGTGGCTGCCCATTATATCCACCTGAGACCTTTGAAAGCCACACACACACCCCCTTCCCGCCCTTGAGTTCTTACTTCCATTGCTGCCTCTGAAAAGTAGAAAGTTTAGGAGGAGAAAGGAGTTTGCAGAATAGTTGGAATAAACAGATTTGTCTGCTGAGTAAGAAACTAGAGATTTAGTGTAGATTGGCTAGCCTTCTTGGGTAGCATTGTCAAAAGATAAAAACTGACACTATTGATTTTTATTCTGAGTATTAAACATGCATTTCATTATTCATGAAAAACAAAATGCAGTTCTCAACAAAGATCCTACGATGACATTTTCTGGAATCATTTAGCTTCCCAAAAGAAGCTGGCACTTTTCAATCAGTTTGAACCCCTAAAAAAAAAAGAAAAAGCAAATAAGCACATCTGTGAGAAAGAGAAAACAGCCAAACAGCTCTGATCCCCAAATAGAAAACCTTTAAGATTTCCCTGTTGCATGAGCTATGTTCTAATATGCCCACCTCTCAAGGTCTTAGAATAGAATTGCTCACAGACTTAGTCCCTTAGCTTAAGGACTTAATTCACTGCAATGACACCTATGTTCAAGACCCCAGATATGGCATAAATAAAAATTTGCTTCCTTCTCACTAAAGTATGGCACTCTTGCTGCAGAGTAAGAAAGAACAATCATCATCAGCTTCCCACTGCATTTTAAAACAGTGCTAGGGTAATCCCATATTGCATATGTACTCAGTCACTGAGTTGTGTCCAACTCTTGGCAAACCCATAGACGGCACCTTGCCAGTCTCCTCTGTCCATGGAATTCTCCAGACAAGAATACTGGAGTAGGTTGCCATTTTCTTCTCCAGGGGATCATGTGTGTGTGTGTGTGTGTGTGCGCGTACATACACATGTATCTTTTAAAAATATTTATTTATTTATTTGGCTTGCCAAATCTTAATTGGAGCACACAGGATCTTTGATCTTCATTGCGGCATGCAAATTCTCAGTTGTAGCATGTGGGATCTAGTTCTCTGACCAGAGATTGAAACCAGGCCCCCTGCATTGGGAGTGCAGAGTCTTAGTCACTGAACCACCAGAGAAGTTCTTCTATTTATTCGTCTTAATATTCTTTTCCATTATAAGTTATTACAATACACTGAATATAGTTCTCTGTGCTATACATAGTTCCTTGTTTATCTATTTTATACACAGTAATATGTATATATTAATCCGGAACTGCTAGTTTATCTCCTTCCACCCCCTACTATCCCCTCTGGCCATCATTAAGTTTGTTTTCTGTGTCTGTGAGTCTATTTCTCTTTAGGAAATACATTCAGTTATATCATTTTTTAGACTTCACATAGAAGTGATACAGTACGCTATTTGTCTTTCTTCGTCTGACTTACTTCACCTTGTATGATAATTTCTAGTCCATTCATGTTGCTGCAAATGGCATCACTTCACTCTTTTTATGACTGAGTAACATTTCATTTTGTGTGTGTGTGTGTGTGTATCCTTTACCCATTCATCTGTTAGTGGGCATTTATGTTGCTTCCATGTCCTGGCTATTGTAAGTAGTGCTGCTATGAACTGCGGTGCATGTATCTTTGAAAAATTAGAGTTCATTTTTTCTGGATATATGTCCAGAAGTGGGATTGTGGGTTCATGGAAGGTCTATTTTTAATTTTTTAAAGGAATCTCCATACTATTTTCATAGTGGCTGCACCAACTTACATTCCCACCAATTGTGAGGGAGGGATTCTTTGTTCTCTCTCCAGCATTTATTTGTAGACTTTTTAATGAGGGCCATTCTGAGTGGTGTGAGATGACACCTCACTGTAGCTTTGATTTACATTTCTCTCGTAATTAGCAATATTGAGCATCTTTTCATGTGCCAGCTAGCCATCTGTATGTCTTCTTTGGAGAAATATCTGTTTAGGTCTTCTGCTCATTTTTCGATTTGGTTGTTTGGTCTTTTGATATGAAGCTGAATGAGCTGTTTGTATATTTTGGGAATTAATCCCTTGTCAGTAGCATTGTTTGCAAACATTTTCCTCCCAGTAGGTATGTTGTCCATATAGGAGACTACTAACCTACCAATCATCTGAACTTTGAAATAAATATTGCTAGTCTATTTCTCCACATCCTATGACATGCTTTTCAAGACTCTCTACATTCTAGATATACCAGAATATAACAATTTTCCAACATCCTTTCATCTCTTTTGAAATCCCAATTCAATAATAGTAGCAATATACCAGAAAGAATAAAGCCTATTGAAAAATCTACCATCAAAGTAAGAGCTATTGACAAAGTTCTGAAAAACAAAGTTATTGATATGATATTAATCAACATCTCAAAATGCAGAGATAGGAGCTCAGAATAGCAACATGAAGAGATATTCCAGCAGTAAAAGACCAGAAAGTCATTGATTTCTGAGATACCTTGGTTTTTATCTGCTGCTCAATCCATTTTTTAAAGCTTCCTAAAGATTCCAGAAGTCACTACTATCTTTTCAATATACTATTTTTTACTGACCCTATTATTTACAGCTAAAGAATTCAAACTAACATACAAGCTAAAAAACAAAACTGTGTAAATATATGGATAAAATAATGATTTAAACACATAAGGACCCCAAAAGTTTTTCTCCTGGATGCCCATCCTGAAAACATACATAAATACATACACGCTTTAGAATTTAGACCAGAAAAACTGAAAATAATCCAAGAAAAAATTACAAAATGGAATTTTAGAAATAGTCCATTTTACCCTAAGTTACACTGGGAAGACATTTTCCATGGATAGTCAGTTCTAGAAATAACTAGGTCCAAACTGAAAGATTAAGCCAGAGGACTTTTCAAATACAGTTTTAAGATGATAGAATATTCTATTACAAAAACTGTGTGATTAAGAACTGCTACAACTTAGTGGTGTGATGAAAGCAAATGCTTTGCTTGTCAACATGGAAAAAGAAAGGTAATTAGAACCTCTCAAGAAAGAAAGATATACGAGGAAATCATAGTCCAAATATGTAAAACAAAGCAAATGTGGCATATTTTTTGCAGTTGACAGTAAGAGAAAAAAAAAACTCCATTTAATCTTAGTATTTTTTAAGCCATACAGGATTAGTCATTGAACTTTTGGTCAACCCATTCATTGTATGGCTGTAAATAACATTAAAGTTAAATGCACTATTGAATATACTATTTATTGATTTCCAGTTTTTAGCATCAACCTATTGACAAAGTGTATACACCTTACACTTTGGAGAAGGGCATGGCAACCCTCTCCAGTATTCTTGCTTGGAGAATCCCATGGATAGAGGAGCCAGGCAGGCTACAGTCCATGGAGCCACAAAGATCAGACACAACTAAAGTAACTTAGCATGCATACACCTTACATTTACAAAGCAGGATTAACAAACGTAGAGCATGTGGAAATAATGTCATAGCTTTAAAGAGAAAAGTTGGCAAAGAAATCAAAGGAAATTTAGACATTAAATATGTTGTGAAAAATCACTATATGCTGACTGAAGTGTAAGGACCAAGGAAGAATATAATCAATAAAAGAAAAATACTTTACTTAAAAATATATTGAAAGTCTACTAGTAGTATTGTTGAAGTCAGCATAAACACACTATATTCTTTAAGTGATATCAATATTTTAAGAAGCTACTAAAGTAATAACGCTAACCACTAGGAGTACTAAAAGTAAAGATTTAAATTGCTTATCTTTTGGGAATGGGAAATGTACCCTGCTTTTCTGTCTGAACTTTTGCCCTACTCATGTTCATGTATTACTTATGTAATTTTCAAAAATTGTCTAATGTACCAAAAGAAGCTAAATACAGTATCCCAGAATGACTTGATCCATATAATAGAGATATCACATTGCTTACTCTGATCCTTGCTTTTTCTCCATAACTGCATCCCAGGATTGCAGTAGCTTTAATAGTAGACCCATCAAATTTTAAGCATAGGCTACTTAAAACAGCAAGTCTTTTACATAAACTTGTATTGAGTCACAACTAAAAGCAGAATACTGCTTTTATTAATTATTAAATTTCATGTATTATTTTCAAACCATCATTTCAGTCTGCCCAAATTTCTGCTAATTCTTGTTAACTTTCTTCTGTGTCATATTCTGTTGGCTGACAGATAATTATCTCAGGCTATAATTATCATCCCCCACTGACCTGAGTAGTTTTCTTCTTAAAACTGCTGCTGTCTGCAATTCACATTATAACCTCATGAAATATGAGATTCCTTTTCTTTGGAAGGTCCAAATTCATCTTGTATGGCTGAGTTTCTTATTTCATTCCTTCTTTTTGTTTCATTCTTATTCTTATCGACACTCCAACATTAACTTCGGCTCACTTTTTTCTCCTTAGAATTTCCCTGCATTCTGGTTTACTTCTCAGAATGTCTTCCATCTTGTCTAAAAATGTTTTATCCTCCCACCAGTCCTAGCTAGAAAGGCAATCTTCAAGCCTGCCCACTTTCTCTTTCAGCAGGCAGAACAGGTTCACATAATTGACTATTCAAATCTCAGAAAAGAAAACAAAGAAAATGCCTGTAGGTGCCCGAAGCAGTTAGTCTAACTGGAAAATCTACAGACTGCTAACTGGCTAAGCCTCATCACTTCCAAGGCTTCACAAGTGGCGCAGTGGTGAAGAACCCACCTGCCAATGGAGGAGACACAGGAGATTCACATTCCATCTCTGGGTTGGGAAGATCCACTGGAGGAGGGCACAGCGACCCACTCCAGTACTCTTCCCTGGAAAAGCCCATGGACGGAGAAGCCTGGTGGGCGAAAGTCCATGGGGTCACAAAGAGTCAGACACAACGGGGCGCACACAGACTTCACTTCGGGGACTTTGGAGACTCCCAAAGCCACTAGGAATTATTCCTTTGCACTCCAGTCAAACCAAGGCCTCTTCCACAAACAGAGGCACACAAAGAGACACACAAATTCTTGCTGATAAGATTCCAAGCTATTTTGATTATATATTCCTATATTTTTGGCTAAGCCTACCAGACCACCTGACCTGACTCTGGAGAAGCCTATATGCAGGTCAGGAAGCAACAGTTAGAACTGGACATGGAACAATAGACTGATTCCAAATAGGAAAAGGAGTACGTCAAGGCTGTATATTGTCGCCCTGCTTATTTAACTTATATGCAGAGTACATCATGAGAAATTCTTTGCTGGAGGAAGCACAAGCGGGAATCAAGATTGCCGGGAGAAATATCAATAACCTCAGAGATGCAGATGACACCACCCTTATGGCAGAAAGTGAAGAAGAACTAAAAACCCTCTTGGTGAAAGTGAAAGAGGAGAGTGAAAAAGTTGGCTTAAAGCTCAACATTCAGAAAACTAAGATCATGGCATCTGGTCCCACCACTTCATGGGAAATAGATGGGGAAAGAGTGGAAACAGTGTCAGACTTTATTTTGGGGGCTCCAAAATCACTGCAGATGGTGATTGCAGCCATGAAATTAGAAGACGCTTACTCCTTGGAAGGAAAGTTATGACCAAACCTAGATAGCATATTAAAAAGCAGAGACATTACTCTGCCAACAAAGGTCCATCTAGTCAAGGCTATGGTTTTTCCAGTAGTCATGTATGGATATGAGAGTTGGACTGTGAAAAAAGCTGAGCACTGAAGACTTGATGCTTTTGAACTGTGGTGTTGGAGAAGACTCTTGAGAGTCCCTTGGACTGCAAGGAGATCCAACCAGTCCATCCTAAAGGTGACCAGTCCTGGGTGTTCATTGGAACGAGTGATGCTGAAGTTGAAACTCCAATATTTTGGCCACCTCATGCCAAGAGTTGACTCATTGGAAAAGACCCTGATGCTGGGAGGGATTGGGGGCAGGAAGAGAAGGGGATGACAGAGGATGAGATGGCTGGATGGCATCACCGACTTGATGGACATGATTTTGGGTAGACTCCGAGAGTTGGTGATGGACAGGGAAGCCTGGCGTGCTCCAATTCATGGGGTCGCAAAGAGTCAGACACGACTGAGCGACTGGACTGAACTGAACTGATTTGTATAACATAAGGTTATTTTTTAATATTCCAGTCTTACCTTTTTTATTTAATGTCCCCAAATTCTTTCACTTTTTTTTCACAAATAGGTTACTTTTCAATTGCTTCATTATATTTTGTTACTGTCCTTGGTTCCAACTTCTCTCTAGGAGTTAGATATATGAAAATATTGGAAGGGGACAGGGGACTAGTTTATGATTATCTACTTTCACCCTAAAGTGGTTCCTCGAGTGTTCTCCAAACCAGTAGCATCAGCATCTCCTGGGAACTTGTCAGACCCCAGCCCAGATCTATTGATCTATTGATCAGAAATCCTGTGAGTAGAAAACACTGATTTTGTTTTAACGAGCCCTCCAAGCAACTCTGATGCACACAAATATTCCAGAATCACTGCCTTAGAATAATTATAAGGAGATTAAACATCATGAAACTTTATAGATGATGCATAATTACAGATAATAAGATTTTTTATCTGAAGAAGTTAATCTAGCAAATGACAGTTAATATGATATATTCTTCAAATAACTCTTATTTGCTTCTTTGATTTGTGGAGAAATCCTAAAGCAGAGAGGGAAGGGAAGAAATTTGGGCTTTTCAGCCATTAAGTTGAAGATTGCTGTTCAACAAAAAGTGTAGGAAAAAGCACACAGAAATCTTCCTATCATGCTATTGGTGAAATAGTTCCAGCAAGGAGTATTCCTGTTCAAGAGCAAAAACATGTCAAGAAAACTCTCTAGGGAATTCTTAAGTATAGGCCTTTCTGAAAAAAGTGCTTATGAGCTGACTCATTGGAAAAGACCCTGATGCTGGAAAAGACTGAAGGCATAAAGAGAAGGGGGTGACAGAGGATGCAATGGTTAGGTAGCATCACTGACTCAATGGACATGAATTTGAGCAAATTCTGGGAGATCGTGAAGGACAACGGAAGCCTGGCATGCTGCAGGCCGTGGAGTTGCAAAGAGTCAGACAGGATTCAGACTGAACAACAAGAACAAGTGTTGATTATATTTATCATGTTGCAAATCATATCCCTGGCATTTGTTTTTCTCATAACTGATCGCAAGTTTGTACTTTTTGACCACCTTCTACCCCATACAAAGATATTACAGTATTATTAACTATAATATATATATATATTATATATAAGATATATAATAATAACTATAATAGTTGCTATTATTATTACTGTTATTACTCAGGTAGTGATGTATTTTCTAAATACTTAACAAAAAGTAAAAGGGCTTTAAAATGAAAAAATGGACATTTGTGACTGTTTTTCTTTTGTGTTATCAGCTAGTAAGTTCTTATTATGAACAGCCAGAGAACATTTGGAAATCTGCAGTTCATTCAGTCTGTCACAACTACTCAATTCAATTCTGCTGTTGTAAAAAGCAGCTGCAGACAACATGTAAATAAATGGGCAGGGCTGCGTGCCCACACAACCTTATTTACATGAACAGGGAGTGAAGCTAAGTTAGCCAGAGGGCAGTAGTTTGACTACCTTTTTGACAAAGCTATGAAAGTGAAAGTGAAAGGCTCTCAGTCGTGTCCAACTCTTTGTGATCCCGTGGACTATACAGTCCATGGAATTCTCCAGGCCAGAATACTGGAGTGGGTAGCCTTTCCTTTCTTGAGGGGATCTTCCCAACCCAGGAATCGAACCCAGGTCTTCCACATTGCAGGTGGGTTTTTTTTTACCAGCTGAGCCTCAGATTATGGCTATAGATCAGTCACTAAGTGGTGTCTTGACTCTTTGTGACACCATGGCCTGCAGCATTGCAGGCTTCCCTGCCCTTCACTGTCTCCCAGATTTTGCTCAGAATTCATGTCCATTGAATCAGTGATGCTGTCTAACCATCTCATCCTCTGCCTCCATCTTCTCCTTTTGCCTTCAATCTTTCCCAGCATCAAGGTCTTTTCCAGTGAGTCAGCTCTTCGCATAATGTGGCCAAAGTAAAGGAGCTTCAGCTTCAACATCAGTCCTTCCAGTGACTATTCAGGATTGATTTCCTTTAGGATTGGCTGGTTTGGTCTCATGGCAGACCAAGGGACCCTCGAGAGTCTTCACCACACCACAATTCAAAAGCACTAACTCTTTGGCTTAGACTAAAGATATGTGACTTTTAACATAAGCACATGTACAGCTTAGTTGAAAAAGCAGAAAGAGCTAACCAGTTTCTTTACCAACTGAACTATGAGGGAAGCCCAGAAAAGAGCCACTGAAGGTAATTAAGGCATTCGTGAAAATTGTTACCTGTGAAAATGTTTCCCTAGGACATTGCTAAACCCCAGCCTTAACTAGCCCCAACCTGTTTGGACTGTAAAGGCTGCTTTATCATATATTTTTTTAACCATATACTTGGAGTCTTCTACTCAGATACTATAACCTACTACAACCAAATTTCTGTTTCTCATGTTATATCTGCAGAAGAGTGGCCATCCCAGGTCTCCTCCATGAATTTACATGAATTTTCTGTGCCTCAGAGTGATGGTAGGATCACCATGATATTCTTAGAAATTTAAGTCACACAACTTTACCATCTTATGAAAAGTCATTTGTTTGTTAACTATATATAATTACATTGATAAAAACAGTCACTGGGTAGTCAGTTTAGTGGATATGCACAGAGACACTTTTTCTGATCATAGTTTCTTTTTCTACTCTTCAACCCCCTATTCTAATGATCTGCCACTGAGAAAATATAATCCTTTTTACCTGGTTTCCTAGTTAAGCCCCAAACTACCTTTAGTGACTCTTTCTGATTGTGCCTCCAGAAATTTCTCAAACAAAGCTACAGCTTGCCCAGACAGGCCTTTAAACTGTTATTTGTTTAAAATGTCTCTGTATTTCCATGGACACCTTTCCTCTACAATGACCAGAGTCTTGCTCATCCTTCTCCCACCCACCCCAATCTAAAACATCTCAGTTCATCTGAGGTCAATGACTTTCTGTTTATCTCTTTTCACGTCTAACACACCTAGTTTCTGCAAATGAACATAAATAGTAGTATACCCTCAACCAAAATACTTAGTTACACCAATCCACTGAGACTGTGATTTTTTCCCAATCCATTTATGACTAGAACAGAGATTTTTTTTTTTAAACTTAATAACCCCTAAGAGTGCTAAGAGAATAAACAAAGAAACAGGGATACCTCTTCCTGGAAACACATTTCACTTGTCTCTGCTTGGCAGCACATCTCCACCAGGTAAGCAAAATCTACAATAATTGATTGGGACTGCATCTCTGCTGCATACGGTTTCTGCTTCACAAGGTTGCTGAGGAGTCTGAAAAAGAAATAAGTGGCGAAAAAAAAAAAAAGCACTCACTGAGGTCTAGGCCAGCTTGCAAACCCACTTTACTTATTGAAAGCTGCACGCCACCCTTGCCTTTGCATAGCTCTCACTCTCAAGTTTAAAGGATCTGAAGATGACCTGATGTTCTCACAGTTTTCACAATGTCTATCTCCATCTTCATGTTTATTTGACATTTTATTCAAGCACATCTCATCAATATACCTATTATAGTAAATTTAATTATCTTTATGTAATTATTACTAGGACAAATACTTTTTTCTATTTTTATTACATTGGGTAGAATAGGTTATACAATATATTAGCTTTTCCTGTAGTATTTTCTTGTGAACAACATCTATCCTAAAAAACTAACTTCCTAATAAATATTCCAAATATAACACACCTGGATGTTGAGGGCCCTTTATATGTTATTAATGATAAAGCCAATATACAAATTTGAAACTTTAGTAGTTTGACAGTCAACTCAGATGCCTCTTACAGAATAGTTTCCCAACAACCATATAAATGTCAGTGATTCAATCACTTTGAATATTCAAAATTATAACCTAGTGTCTGTCTATTTAATAACATATGTTGTCTTTTATTTTCTGATCAAGAAAGATTTAACTACAAAGAAAACAAGGTGCGAAGGGTAGGGAAAATGTACCTTAATCCATATTTTATTGCTTACCCCAAAAAAAAACATTTGCTTGGTCTTCATTTTCAAATTCAAATTGAAAACACCTAGTGGCCTTATTTGTGCTTGAATAGGTATAATAAAAAATATCTCAAAGCTTCTAGCTATTTCTAAGACACTCTAAACCAGGGATCCAACAAGTATTAATATTTTAGGCTTTTTCTACCAAGAGACAGAACTGAGGACATTATATAAGTCTTCCATCACAAGACAGAGAACTCCAGCCCCGCCCCACCTCTAGTCTGGGCTGCCCTGGGTGGCTGGCAGACACAGTTTGTGCCAGTTGCCATCAGCTAGAGACGATGGCGCAGAAGGAGCAGCCAGTAGAAGGGCAGGTGTGCACCGCATCAGTCTCACTGTCCAGCCCAGTGGCACGCCCTTTTCTTCTCCCTGAGGCCTCAGCGCAGGCAGCTGGCCCAAAGCAAGGTGACTCTGGGTCACCTGACTCCTGGACTGAGATGCCACCAAGCCTTTGCTGCCTGGCAGCCGTCCACAGTGAAGTCTCCAGTGTGGATGTGGCACCAGCGCAGGCGCTGGGCAAAGCAAGCTGCAGCCCAGGCGGGAAGCAGGGGTGAAGTTGGGAACAGTCCAGAGGCCAAAGTGGCCCTCTGCTGCTCCCAGGCTTGGCTCATCCAAGTGGTGCCCCCTGGACCCACAAAAACAGCCCTGGCCAGATGGCCGTAGAACGCTGATCCCATCTAAACAATCAGACAGACACTTAGCTTAACTGGATAGCCCTCTGAACATGCTTCTGATCTTCACATTTCAGCTCCACCCTCTCCCACCTCCACCTTCGCCCCGCCTTGATAATGGACAAAGGTGGACCACGGGAAAGGCTGAAAAGAATAAGGAAGCTCAAGCCAAGTTTCTTTTCAGAAACTATTATTAATACAATATGAGGTGGGCTTAAGAAGCATGCAATCACTGTATCCTCTGAGCACCAGCAAAACACAGTCAAAGGACTAGGAGATTCTGATTAACTCCATGTTAACTCCTAATTTTAAGTCCTGGGAATCTAGAAAAAAAATCAGAAGAGGGGACAAAGGCATATGTACAAAAATATTCATTGTCACAATTTATGACACTTAGAAATTAAAAACAATTTTCATGCACAGCAACAGGGAATAAATTCATAATTGTACCCATGTATTGTTGTCGTTTAGTCACTAAGTCATACCCGATTCTTTTGCGACTGTAGGCCGCCAGACTCCTCTGTCCATGGGATTTCCCAGCCAAGTATACTGGAGTGGGTTGCCATTTCCTTCTCCACGGGATCTTCCCGATTCTGGGATCAAGCTCACCTCTCCTGAATTGCAGGCAGATTCTTTATTGCTGAGTCACCATTGTACCCACATACTAGAATATTAGAAAACTATTAAAATAGCTGTTTTGAAGACTAACGTGTACATTATAGTTTTTAACTACATTAAAAAAAAAAAACAGTGAAACAGCCAACATCTTTTGAGTGTACTGATATTTGCTAGGTTTCAGACAATGTGCTGATAATTTATAAATGCTACCTCATGTAATGCCCTCTGTCACCTTAAAATAAGGCTCTGTGTCATCTCCACTTTGAATTGGTAGGAGTAGTTTCAACTCCTTGGGAATAGTATAGTTCTGAGCAAATATAACAAGCCAGTGCAGTGAGCGTCTCTCTCAGAAAGTGCTGAGGATTGAGAGCTACTTATGAGAATTTGTCCTGAGACAAGAAGTCAGGTTCACAGACTTCCGCCCATTGAGAAAGGTTGGGCAGCAGGAGACTGGAGTAATTCAGCGGTTGCCCAGCTGGGCCTCCATTAGACTCAATTCTGAGTTATGTGGAATCAGGATAATGCTTTGAAAGGGGGATGGGTGAGAACTTTCACTGAAGTCCTGCATACCATTGAGACAAAAGCAGCACTGAACAACCCCGACTAAACAAGCACAATCCTGGGGTCTGGGGAAGATATGATTTTTTTCCCTGAACAACAAAACATAAAGCAGTTTTGTCATCCCTTGAAAGGGATGCAGTCTGCTGCTCAACAGGAGACGGCAGTACCTGGAGGGCATGGCTGATCCCAGTGGCACGGGAGTGGTGCCAAGGATCACGCCTGGAGAATTCAGGGAGTGAGGCGACAGGAGTTTCCTAAGCGCTCCCCTGAGGACTCAGAGAAATTGCTGGAACTGAAGTTCTGTGTAAGCAGGTAGTAGCACGAGTGTGCAAAGCTTGCATTATTAAGCATTCAAACCATAGATGGATGGACAGAGGGCAACTGTGGGAGAGTGCACTTGTATACATATATGACATTCTATACTCCTACACTGTATATATGTTTATGATGGTATTTCTGCAGTGTTGGAATAAAAGTAACATGACTTTCTTCTCTTTTCTGTATTTTCTAAATTTTCTTCAGTGATTACGTATTACTTTAAAAATATATCAAAATTTTACAATGAAATACAATAGTGTTAGCATTCCTTTTTCTATCCAACTGTTCTGCACATATTTGATCCTTTTCTAAATTATTTTTTATTAAAGTATAGTTGATGGATGCACATATTCAACTTTCCCATTAGACCTAAACTTGATCCCACTTGAGAGGAAACACTGCCTGTGTCTCTGTATCATTCAAGTCTGCGCAGTTATATATGATGCATAGTCAAAACAGTTGATACTATCTTTGAATAATAATTATCAGTTTTTAACACATTGATTATTCAAAGTGAGAAATATAGGCTATTTCCCACTGGAATTTTGGTAAATTCTGTCTCAATATATTTTCCCACAGATTCAGTATTGCTCATGATGCTGAAATTCACTGACCAACGTATAAAAGAACAGGATAGCTTCAGTCCCAGGCTATAAAAACTAACCACCACGCGTACCTACATAGTGAGACTACCCTATTTCCAAGCACTTACTGGGGCTTCTGTGAATTCGGAACTCCAAGTAGCCAAAGCCATAATAGGAGGGGCCAAGTGTTTACTGCAAGTTCATGCAAAATCTGGACTTCTCTTTCCTTCCAATATCATGAAAAGGGCACAAACTTTGCAGTCAAACTTAACTTCGGCTCAAGTTAGGTCCTCCACTCACTAGTGTGTCTGATGATGGGTAAGATACTTGGCCTCCCTGACCCTCATCCACAAAAAGAGAATTTGAACACCTGTAGCATTCACCTGCCAGTGCAGGAGATGTGGGTTCAATACCTGGTCTGGGAAGATCTCCAGGAAAAGGAAATGGAATCCACTCTAGTATTCTTGCCTGGGAAATCCCATGGACAAAGGAGCCTGGCAGGCTACAGCCCATGGAGTCTCAGAGAATCAGACATGACTTAGTGACTGAACGACAACAAACAATACTTTGCAAGGTTTTTGTGAACACCAAAAATTATACTATGTTAAAAGACAGAGTACAGTAACTGACATACTGGAGGCATGCAGTACATAATGGCAAAGATAATATGAGTAATTATATTAATTATTTCAGCAAATGATGGCAAGGATAATGAATAATTATAGTAATAGCAGGACTTGCAACTGTCTGTTTCAAATTACTGGTTGTCTCCAACCGTTGTCTCCCTTCTCCCTGATTCCCACAATAAATGGTACATTGTCACAACTTCTTACCTATCTACCCATTTACTCATTCAGTAAATAACGGATGAGCATTTTTATAATTTCCCTGAAGATTTTAGCTGTAGATTTAACAATAATAGAGAAGACAGAGGAGGTAGGAAGGCTCCCTCATAGCTACCCTTCTCTTTCCTCACAAGCTTTGTGGATTCCAGGTGTCTTCATAGCCTGGCTCCTCCCAAGCCCTCGAGTCTCAATCCCCAGAATTTCTCTCCTCTCACTCACCCGTGCCTCAGACACCTGAACGTGGGGCTCTCCCCAATCCTGCTGGGTCAGCGGGCTTCTGCATGCACTTCCCCAGAGGCACCAGTGGGGGGACCACTGAGCTTCCAGAGAAGACAGAAGCAGCTTTTATTTAAACAAGGAGAAACACTCACTGATCCAGGATAGGTAAGTGGGGGGAAAGGCTCCCATTATGAGAATGCAAGTCTGGGAATGAGATTTAGAGCAAAGGTATCAGCATCGTGTTACCTTTCCTTGACACTCCGGATATAAAGGCTGCCTTTTCTACAGCTGGGGACTCTGACATTTGGAAGCTAGGCGCAAAGCCCCCCATAATTTGTCACATACTCGTGATTGCTTGCAGTGAATTTATCTCCTCTCAACTCCCTCCCACCTCCACCTCCCCATGTCTCTACCTCTCAACCTGACTGCTATTTAAAAATTCCCCTAATTCTATATATTCCTTTAGTTTTCAATTTACCTTTTTAAATCTTAGATTCTATTTTTAATCCTCAACACCAAATTGTTTCTGGTTCTTCATTTCAATGATATTGATCTTTTATTTTCATTACATCTATCCATCCTTTCATTTGAAGCACACTCTAATCTTGAGTCTTAACTATCTTAAGTCTAATCCTCCTATCTTAAGTCTTAACCCTTCAACCCTGTATTTTTCTTTGCTGGATTTTAAATTCTTTTCTCTTGAACCAGCATTCTCTTCCTATTTTCTCTATCTTATTGCATGACTTCATTTCTGCCTTCTCTTTATAATCGTGCTGAATTTTGTCTTTTCCTTCCAGGAACCCTTCATTTTTTTTTTTTTTTTTTCTTTTCATGTCTATGTGAACTTATTTTGGCAATCAGCCAGAACTATATAGGAGAGAGCCCCTACCACTTCCCTGAAAATGGAGGGCTTTGTCCAGCCTCGCTCTTAATTCCCAGTATGTATTTTTCCAGAATATTCTAAAAATCTCTATATTATCAGTCTCTATGTTATTGCTTTCTCCATACAGAAAACACCATGAATTCACCAGAACAGGGATGCTTCCTAATATTTCACACTTTTTATTATCTAGCCTTTACATGAAGAGTTTCAAGTTTTAAAAATTATAACCAGCATTATAACCCTTTGACGAGGGCACGCTAACAGCTACATGTTGGTTGTTAAGCATATGTGCTCTGAGCCAAATAACCTGGGTACAAATTCCAGTTCAGCAACTGATTTACCTACTGCATGATCTCATACCAGTTATTCTTGCCTTCTTAGCCTCAATTCCCTCACAATTAAAATGGGGTAATGATGTTATCTACCTCCTAAATCTGTGGTCAGGATTTGGGGAGATAACATACATAAAGGATGCCTATTTGTACCAGAAAATTTCCTCAAGGGAAAGCAAATCTTGAACTTAAAAAGTAAAGTATTATATGCTCACATTAGCCTGGGCTAAAAAAAAATGGTTAACTAAGTGATCATCGGATGCTTACTGAAAAGGTTTAAAGACTAGTTTGTGATCAGTTCATTTTGGGAGCTAAGAAAGGACTTCAAGTGTCAGTTGGTTTATGAATTTTAAGTACTGTGATAGAACAAGTGACAACCTTGTGCTTGCTGACCACGATAATATGCTTATTCTCAAGGCAACAAAACCTTGGCCTCGTTTGGAAAGACAATATTCTCGGACTAATAATATTTAGACCCTGCAAGAGCAAGTCTTCGAATAAATAACTTAATTAGAAATAAGCTAGCACTTCTGTTGATCTTGAGGAAGAAAGAACTATGAGGACCAGTATCCTTTCTCCTGAGGACAAGATGCGGGGCATGTGAGGAGGGTGGGAAGGGAGGGTGGGCTTTAAAGGGGAACCTGCCCACTGTCAGGAGGTGGAGTGATTTCAATTAATTGTGTCTTTGTCATTGCTGTTGCTGTGTGTACAAAAAGATCCTTACTTTAGCTTTTCAGTTTTTAATTCCTCCTCTTGAGCTTTGCACAAGTCTTCTTTAAGGTTGATGACTTGGTCACAGGATAATGGTGGAGGAATGTAAGTTCCATCGACTTGCAGGTCATCAAAACAAGGCTTTCTGAAGGCATCCGAGTCATCACAGGACTGACCCACAGCAGCACTGATGGGCTCCGTCTCATGCCTTCTGCATAGAGCTCCAAGAATTAACTTTGCCTTCCCCAGAAAAGAATTAAGATAAGAGCCATAAGTTTTGTGGTCGTTAGGATTATTTTTTTTAATCCATAGAAAATTATTCTCAAATTCTAGTTTTTGCTAAACTCAGCCTGAATTTTATCATCTGGGAAAGAGCAAGAGTGTCAGGTGAAGCCTAGTCCTCAGCCTTGATCTCCACCTTCCTATTATCCTCAAGGTGAGTTCCCTTGAACCCCACTTCCCAAATTCCTTCCCAGCCCAGTTTACAGACAAGTGTTGGCTTGAGGCAGGAGTTCTTTATGCTGTATCAAGTTAAAATCAAGCCTCTGGTCAACACAACTGCTATTTTGATCCAGATATAAGACTGATGGTTGGATTTCTTACTTAAAAAGCTCAAATCCAATGTGTTTCTACGTCTCATAACTGGACACTGGTAACCACCATCAAACTTGGTATATGGCAAATCCTATATAAACATTTGTTGAATTATTGGAAAAAAATGAATAAATGAATGGTGAAAGGAATCCCTGAATCTTCTTTCAGTTACCTCTTTAATTTTCTTGTCTCCTTCTAGAACAGTCACCTTGCCTTGCTCCCATTGTGGTGTCTGATACTTACTCTAATGCTGGCTGCAAGCCTGCTTTAGGCCCCTCTGAGTGTGACCACACAAATACCCTGTCACTTATGTATGTGGGGATGAAGAGGCTGAAACCTTGGAGCATCAGCATTCAATTTACGAGTTTATCCATTTTCACAGTAACCAAAAAGATCACTTAAAAGCAAGGTTTTAGGAGTATAAACTATGAGTTCCCTATGGAAGGCATGATTGTTAATAAAAAAATTAAAAGGAAGACAGAGCTGGATAATAAAAAATTTAAATCTGCAACCAAAACAATTATATTTTATCAGAAAAAATACTCACACATCTGGTGCTGGAAGTGTTGTGAGTATGATAATCGTGTGAGAGTAAAGGAGATACACAGGAAAACTGGCTGTTTTTTACTACATTTTTGATTAGGATGAGTTAGTCTGAAATCAGCAAAATCACTTTTGTTGACTTGAAAATCCAAGGAATAGATCTTGAGATATGATCCAGGCAAAGACCTGATGAATCTGACATCCCCAGTTTTTGCAAAGTAAGGGTCTTACCCTTGCTGTCATTCAAAGACTGTTGGCATGAACCGTCCAGAAAGAAATTCTCCCAAGGACAGAATTATTAGGGTCCAGTGACAACTTACAGATGTGTCCACTGACATGAGATTGATGCTGGGGCCTGGAGTTGAGAACTTCCCACGACAGGCAAACATGCGGTCAAGGGTGTGCTTACCGAGTCCTCCATGCAGACAAACTGGGGCTCTTGATCCAGTGGGCAGCACTTGCTAGCAGCAGCTGCCATGTTCTTCGTGAGAACAATCAACTCCTGAGCAGACAGCTGTGGGGCTTTCTTCGTATAAAAGACTATGAGCCTGAAAGAATAATGTCTTCTTATTCCTGGAGATGACTCTGTGCCTCAAATGAAGAATTCTACAAAGTGTTTGTCATCTGATATTTGTCTGGGATGAGCAAGTTTTCAAACTGGGCTTAAGTCTATTCTTTTAGATCCTATTTCAGTGTTCCAATAGCTTCTTCAGTAGACCTAGAATTCTCTTTCCACATCACACATGCTCCATGCTGATCCAGTTTTTTCTACATAGGATCAAGGATGCTATGATAGCTAATGTGGGTGACTGCAAAATCAGACTCAGAGTAAACAGCTCCTGAAATAAATATATGCACAGTCTTTAAGGCATGTATTGGTTGTTTGTGATGTGTAGGAACAGAAGCTACAGCAGCGATCAGGAAACATTTCCTGCTCTCCTGGGCTCATGCCCTAGTTGGGAAGATAAAAGAGCACACTCAGTGTGATGAGAGGAACACAGAATGCTATAGATATACATGGAATGGCATCTAATTCCACCCCAGGGAGGTCAGGTAGGCCTCCCAGAGGAAATGACATGTGAGCTGAGATCCTGCCAATAACTAAAAATGACCCAGGTGAAGGGGAGTGAAAGTAAGGGTGGAGCATTTAGAAAGTCACTGAGTGAGGTTTTGTTTTTCTTAATTGGGGGGATTGGAAATTGAAAAGAGGGGAAAGAAGAAAGCTTAACTATAGAAGCAGCTTTACGATGCTTTTAAGATCATTACGGTTGCTCTATAAAGAATCAACTGGAGGTGGCAAGAGGCAGAGCCAGGGAAGGAAAAGCCATGCCAGTAATTCAAGTGAGAGAGGCTGGTGGCCTGAACTAGGACAGTGGTGGTGGGAACTGAGGAATACAGGGGAAAATTTTGAATGAGAAAGACTACAGAACTGACAACAGAATATCAGAATCATTTATTGCATTTATATTATAATGGAGTTAGGGAAATAATGTAGCTGCTTCTTAAATCCAACCCCTGGATTGGCAGTATCAGTACCCTTGGGTACTTGTTAGAAATATTAATACATAATCTCATGCACCATCCCAGATTTACTGACTCAGAAACTCTAGAGGAGAGCTGTGTTTCAACAAATCCTCCAGGTAGTTTCTTTTTTTCCCCCCAGGCAGTTTTGATGCACTCAAGTTTGAGAGCCATGGGTCTAATCCTTAAATTAGACATTAACAAACATAACAGTTAAAAGAAAATAAAAACAAATATTCTGTCTGAAATGAGAATAGTTCCTCTGGTTTCATTATTCCAGTCATTTAAGTTCAGTATTATGAACACTATATCAAACCGAATTTTTCCCCAGCACTCTGCTTCTAAGTAGACTATAGTAGTAATATCTTAAACATTACTGAAAATTGGCCTTTTTTTTTATATCTTAATCTTTAACATGGGCTTCCCAAGTGTCTCAGTGGGTAAAGAATCTGCCTGCAATGCAGGAGACCCAGACAGACTTGGGTTCAATGCCTGGGTTGGGAAGATTCCCTGGAGAAGAGCATGGCAAACAATTCCAGTATTCTTGCCTGGAAAATCCCATGAAAAGAGGAGCCTGGTGGGCTACGGTTCATAGGGTCACAAAGAGTTGGACACAATTGAAGCGACTGAGCACACATGCATACAATCTTTGACATAAATGGGATTTGCCAGGCTCTCTGCACACAGAGTTTTTTTGTGCACTCCCTGACTAATAACTACAATTTCCATTTATTTCCACTCTTGATGGTGAAAATACTCTAGTGCCATGGTGACCTGACTTGAAACTGACAAAGCAACCCTATATCAGATCTCTGTTGCAGCCTTGACTCCAAATTGCAGGCAGAGCCCCAAGCTAAATGTACGGGTGAAAGGTAGAGGCTCCTATGAGATTGCAGAAGGGGGTCAGGGCTGCTGGCTCCCTAATCTCTGGGCATTGATTAGAATCCAGGAAACTGGACCAAAAAGCAAAGTAAAAGCACACAAAGTTATGTAGTCAAGTATCTTATCAAGATAAGGATAGCTGGGTTAATTTGGAACTGATTTTTTCCTTGGCCTCTGAGGTTTTAAGGTTGAATATAGACTCTTAGCAACTCTTAGCAGCAAAAGTTAACAAAAATTAACATCTGTCGTGAAAGTTACTATCTCCTAATTTCTAACGTACATCACACTGATTTTTCACATGCTCATGGCTTTCACGAACCACTCTTTGAAACATCCCTTCCTGAAAAATAAAGATAATCAGTGTTTGCCTATTGTTGCGACAATACATCTTGAGGTTAGATTGCAAAATCATCTTCTGTAATAGTTTAATGTAACTGTTTTACTAAACCCAGGGTTTTATTTACTCAGTGAGTTTGGAAATGTTGAAAAAACACATTTTGCTATAACAGGAATGGCCATGTACTTTGTGGAGGAAAAAAGTAGGACAACCAGACTGATACTTAGTTTCCTCTGATATGAACTCATTTGTGAGTTTAAATGGCATATTTTACAAGTATGAAGCTAGTCATTCATCAAGCCAGAAAGAGGTCCTTAAAAGTAATTTATAGATCAAAGTTCAATTGATCAGAATATGTGTGTATATATTGGTTATTTTTAATAATACAGCATTTTTATATAAACAGTACAGATATGGGCATATGGATGTAGATATAGAAATATAGATACATATTAAGAAGTAAGGTTTAATAAAAACACGTACCAGATGTGAAGCATTCCACAAATACACTTTGAAGGAAATCACATGGAATTCTTAGAGCTAAACACAAATTGAAAAAGTTCTTGAACAGTGCAAATAAAATCCCAGTGGGAAGATACAACTGACCTTGCAGACTTAGCTCTTTGCTAGGAACACTGGTTATCATAAGCAATCAGACCCAGTCCACCTGATTCTAATAAGCAGTGTTCAATAGTAAAAACTTTACCCAGTTTGCAAACTATTTGTCTGGATTCAACCTTTCTTGCCTGAGTGGCACTGGACTAGTCACCTGAACCTCTGAAACCCAATACTTTCATCTATAAAATGTAGCTAGTAATTCTGCCATTACCTATCTTACCAAGCTGCCGTGAGAATAAAATAGGACACTGGTTGTAAAGCTACTTTGTAAACTCTAAACACCCATCCTCCTATAAGGGGTTATTATCATAATAAGGGTGATTGTGAAATCTACAGGTGATGCATTGAAAGGGTGTTAACCAGATCTTCTAGGATCCAATGCCTGATGATCTGAGGTGGAGCTGATGTAATAATAACAGAAATAAAGTCCACAATAAATGTAATGTGCTTGAATCATCCTAACCATCTCCCCCCACCTCCCCACCACCCCGGTTCATAGAACAATTGTCTTCCATGAAATGGGTCCCTGATGCCAAAAGGTTGGGGACCACTGTTAACCTACAGAAGACTAAATCACCTTCATTTAGCTTTCTCTCCAGGAACAGGAAGATGCCAGATGTACCTGCTTGTACTCAGAACAAGAAATGCCTTCACCCTCTATCCCCACCTCTCTGTCAACCCACAAGCCACTCATTAGCATAACAAAAGCTAGAACCTCCTAGCTCCTGGTAACCTGTGGATGACAGATCACCTGGTCAAAGATTTGTAAGGTCACCTGCTTTTTCATGTCAACTGCACAACAGGAGCCGCTGCCTGCAAACAGTATGATTTCTGGCTTGAAATAGGGAAAGTGTCCAGGCCTGCTTGCTGAAAATATTCAACCTTCCCTCACCCTAACAGGCTATGCTTTCATGCTACCTGCTACCAGGTCAAGCAAACTTAAAAGAGAAAATTGCACAGAGAATGTTTCATAAAACACAGAATTTATAAGGCAGTAACTCACACTGAGAGTTGCTGCTGTGTAATGATGTGACCTTTGGTTTAGAAGGAAATCATAGTTTTTGTGTAATGCTTGAAATCAGAACATGCATAATTATCTAATAAAAGCATGGTACTACTAACAGCACTGGACTTTTCTCTATTTGTAATCACACCACAAATATGAGAAATAGGTTTTTTTAAAAAGGAATTTACCCCATGGCTATAGCATTCCAGAGGGTTTTCTAATTTACAGCATGTTCCCAGTAAATTTTGATATACTGCATCCACTCTTAAAATGACTGGAACTGCCGACTCTGGATGTCTTCTTGCGTATTCATAAAGAAACCTGTTTCCACATGAAGCAAATTAGAGAGTAAACAGTAAGTTTCTGAAATCATATTTTTCTTTCAAAAGCCATCTATTCAATTTATTCAATATTTTAACTGACTTTAAGGTATTTGAAAATCTTGGGTGACTGGCAGGGAGGTTTTTCTGGCTATGTTTTGAGATAAGGAAACCAAATCAATAAAATTACATGATTTTTCCAAAGTCACACAACAGTGAGTGGCAGACTCAAACTTGAACCTAAAATATTCTGATAAACTTCAGTTCTTGGCTCAGGGTCTCTCCTTACTGTTGCTAGAAATTCATTTCAAGTGTGTAGATGAGAACATTTTTCCTAATGACCTTTGAGGCTAGATTTTATAAATATTATACTTTTTATAAGTATTAAATCACCACCTTCCCCTTGTTCATAATCTATACATTCTTCTGGGTTACAAGAAAGAGAAATTTTGACTCCAGAATACTTCTAAAGGAATCATAGAATTGCAGGAGGGATTTTTGAAGTGCCTTAAGGAGGGACCTTATCTAACTGCCTCAGTTTACAGTTGGAACATAAAAGCCTGGGGAAGTTAAAAGGCTTGAACTGCATTTCAAAGCAGATGCATGACTAAATTAGACTGGAACTCAGGTGTCCCAACTCACAGACTAACGTGATTTCCACTAAGTTGTGCCTATCCACTTTTTCAGAACCAAATGCAAGTCTAGGGAAAGTGATTTCAGATAGTGACATTTACTTTTATAAGCCAATGTCAAATGTAATTGCAGAAATATCGCTAAAGTCACTCAACAGAAAACTTTGAAGAAAACTCAAATTTTTATGCTTTGTTAGAATTTAGTTGCTCCAAATAATACTTTACACAGTGACTTTGGAAATATTTCAATGACAAAGTAATACTATCTTAATATTTCATCTTGAAATCAGTTTGCTTTATGACCCGAATAAATAGTACTTCTGCATGGGCGCTAGAGATGTTAGTATTCCATTTCTTTAATCTTGAAATTCTATTCAATAGCTTTGATAGTAAGTATTAAAATAATCAGAAGAGCTGGCCATACTAATCTGAGGCCCTTACTTAAACATGACTCTAAGTCTCTCAGAGCAAAGCTTGCACACGCTTGACACTCACTTCATTTTTAAAATTTCCTATATTGGTTGTCAACATTTAGAACTCAAGAGACCTTCAACTCCCCTCCAAAAAGTTGATCCAACCACCCAAAGCCTACATTCCCACATGGCCACAAGTAGCTAGAGCCAAATAGTAGCTGCCACCTTGGACTACACAAAGCATATCCTCTTGACCATTTAACCACTGACTGATATCATTGACTAGCCTCTGCCATCATTCAAGATGGCAACTTCTACCAAAGAATCCATAAATACAATATCCCTTTATTAAGGTTTTACAAAAAGCCTTATTATTTTTGTAGGAAGAAATCTTGCTTGTCAGTGAATTGTTTGCATACAGACTGATCTGTAAACCTGCGAAGGGGCGGGGATGAGAGATCAGGTTTGTCCTCGTTTTCCGAGTTGATAATGCATTCTCCTCGGAATGGTTCTGGCAGTTCACAGCATGGAGAGAATTTGCTAGATAGAATAGCCTGTTTAGAGCAGATGTAGTTCATAAGCTGACTCTATAAAACAGAAAGGGAAGCAGTTATTCTTGATGACTTCATTCTGAACATATTTATTTTTATTGAGAAAAGCAGAGAAAAACTTGGCCTCATATTGCTTTTCTCTTGCAAACTGAAAGATCAGAAAGGCCAGTTATACTGACTCTTTCTAATAAGAAAGCTTCCCTACCTGACCTTACTCAAGTGTCATAGTTCTCAAAGAACTTAAAGGAAGATGGACTATATTACTGTTTTCAAGTTTAGCCCAACAAAATACAAATAGAGAGTTTTATCACTTGCTATTGTTATTGTTTTAGGATCCCAGGTGAGAAAACGTTTTGTCTCTGTCATTTTCTATATACATTACCATGATATTACTATTACACTTACATATTTACTTGTATGTTAAAAGTAGAAGTGAAAGTGTGAGTCGCTCAGCTGTGCCCAGCTCTTTGCCATCCCATGGACTGTAGGCCACCAGGCTCCGCTGTTCATGGAATTCTCCAGTCAAGAATACTGGAGAGGGGTAGACATTCCCTTCTCCAGGGATCTTCCTGATGGCAAGATACACAGAAGAACTATACAAAAAAGATCTTCATGACCCAGATAACCATGATGGTGTTATCACTCACCTAGAGTCAGACATCCTGGAATGAGAAGTCAAGTGGGCCTTAGGAAGCATCACTATGCACAAAGCTAGTGGATGTGATGGAATTCCAGTTGAGCTATTTCAGATCCTAAAAGATGATGTTATGAAAGTGCTGCACTCAATATGCCAACAAATCTGGAAAACTCAGCAGTGGCCACAGGCCTGGATAAGGTCAGTTTTCATTCCAATCGCAAAGAAAGGCAATGCCAAAGAATGCTCAAACTACTGCACAATTATACTCATATCACATGTTAGCAAAGTAATGCTCAAAATTCTCCAAGCCAGGCTTCAACAGTACATGAACTGTGAACTTCCAGATGTTCAAGCTGGATTTAAAAAAGGCAGAGGAACCAGAGATCAAATTGCCAACATCCGTGGGATCATCAAAAAAGCAAGAGAGTTCCAGAAAAACATCTACTTTGCCCTATTGACTATGCCAAAACCTTTGACTGTGTGGATCACAACAAACTGTGGAAAATTCTTCAAGAGATGGGAATACCAGACCACCTGACCTGCCTCCTGAGAAATCTGTATGCAAGTTAAGAAACAACAGTTAGAACTGGACATGGAACAACAGACTGGTTCCAAATAGAGAAAGGAGTACATCAAGGCTGTATATTGTCACCCTGCTTATTTAACTTATATGCAGAGGACATCATTTGAAATGCTGGTCTTGCCAGGAGAAATGTCCATAACCTCAGATATGTAGTTAACACCATCCTTGTGGCAGAAAGCAAAGAAGAACAAAGAGTCTCTTGATGAAAGTGAAAGAGAAGAGTGAAAAAACTGGCTTAAAACTCAACATTCAGAAAACTAAGATTGTGGCATTTAGTCCATCACTTCTTAGCAAATAGATGGGGAAACAGTGGAAACAGTGACAGACTTTATTTTGGGGGGCTCCAAATCACTGCAGATGGTGACTGTAGCCATGAAATTAGAAGATGCTTGCTCATTGGAAGAAAAGCTATGACTAACCTAGATGGCATATTAAAAAACAGAGACATTACTTTACCAACAAAGGTCCATCTAGTCAAGGCTATGGTTTTTCCAGTAATCGTGTATGGATTTGAGAGTTGGACTATAAAGAAAGCTGAGCACCGATGAACTGATGCTTTTGAACTGTGGTGTTGGAGAAGACTCTTGAGAGTCCCTTGGACTGCAAGGAGATCCAACCAGTCTATCCTAAAGGAAATCAGTCCTGAATATTTATTGGAAGGACTGATGTTGGAGCTGAAATACATTGGCCACCTAATGTGAAGAACCAAGTCATTGGAAAAGACCCTGATGCTGGGAATGATTGAAGGCGGGAGGAGAAGGAGATGACAGAGGATGAGATGGTTGGATGGAATCACCGACACAGTGAACATGAGTTTGAGTAGGCTCCAGGGGTTGGTGATGGACAGGGAGGCCTGGCATGCTGCAGTCCATGGGGTCACAAAGAACGGACACAACTAAGTGACTGAACTGAACTGAACACACACACACACACACAAATTAGTACATTTATATATGAACAAACTAATCTCTACACTTAAGGAACTCACAGGTCTAGTTGGAGAGTTTAAATAATTAAATAACAAAATAATGCATTATAAAATAAATTGTTAGAGAAATATATATATTATAATTTGGATGAGAAAAGAGAGATTGCAATCCCACTGGATAAGATCAGAGTAAAGATTTTGAATGATTTCAGTCTTGAATGACAAATATAATTTAGTTGGAAACAAATGGAGAGAAAAAGGCATACTAGAATTGTCCATGTTGGTCTATAAAGAGTCTTAGAGGGTGACAACCATGACATACTTAGGAAATGATATATAGGATATTTCGAACTTACTGGGAATCTTTGGTTGAGATGAAGATTAAGGGATCAGGAGAGAAGGAGAATGTGCCAAAAGTCTAGATCTGAGAGTGGTTAAGTGGAAGCTGCATTATGGAGTCAGGTTGAGATCAATAGGGAGAATTTCTACATTAATTAGGAGATAAGTCTGCCCCCAGTGGCTTACTAGGATCAAATCTGTTTCAATAAAGTCCTGTTGAAACGGGAGGCATCAGGCCTGCAGGCAGTAGTTCTGGCAACAAGGCTGGCAAAGGCTCTGACATCATCCACCTGTAGATTCTAACATTGCCTTCAGGTTGGGAGTGTTTTGGCCAGGAGATTTTATAGGCCAGGCCGAGAAATGGCATTGAAAAAGATGCACTGGTAAAGCCCCTGATGCTGTGAAAGAGTGAAGGCAAAAGAAGAAGGGGGCAGCAGAGGATGAGATAGTTAGATGGCATCACTGATTCAACAGACATCAACAGACTCAACAGACTCCAGGAGCTGATGAAGGACAGAGGAGCCTGCCATGCTGCAGTCCATGAGGTTGCTAAGAGTTGGACACGACTTAGCGACTGAAAATCAGCAACAAAAGAAATGATTTAAATCACTTCTGATCAAGCTCCACCTATTTGTAAGACTGGAGTCATCTTACTCCATTTTCCAAGAACACTATCTTGGAAAAGAATAATAAATTAAATGCTCCTTTTGCAAAACTGATTAATTAAAGGAGAAAATAAATATACATGAGGGATAAGGAGGTATAGTTACATAATCAATGTTTTTAGTTATCCAATAATAATAATGTCAGGCAGAACTCTATTTCTAAATGAGAAAATACTAGTGAAGGAGAAGTTTTAAAGAAAAAACGTATATTTCAAGCCCTGACAAAAATAAGGATAGTTGAGTCTCATTATTCACAGTAGTTATAAACATTGAATTCGTGAATATTGAGTCATCAACCCTAGAGGAAATAGAGGATAAAGTTTCTACAAGTCTCTGGCCACATGTTCGTCAGCAAATCAAAAGATAACCCTTGTTTTGTGTATGTTTCTGTTTAAAAACTCCTTATTTAATATATACAGTAGCCCCCCCACCCCTGTTCACTACAGGGGAGACATTCCAAGATCCCCTAGTGGATGCCTGAAACTGCAGATAGTACCAAACCTTCTATATTTTTTCCTGTACATGCATACATATGATAAAGTTTAACTTATAAATTAGACACAGTGAGAGATTAACGAAAGTAACATAATAAAATTGTAGCAATATAATGTAATAAAAGTTATGTGAATATGGTCTCTCTTTTTCTCAAAATACCTAATTGTGCAATTTTAATGCCTTTTCCATCTTAACTAACTAGCACTTATCATGCACTGTAGCCAAAAGTTTGGCAGTTTGAGGTGTGACAAAACTAATACGAATTTATTTTTCCTTCCTCACAATTTCATAGACAAAAGATTTGTTCTTACCATAGATCTTGGTGACCTCAGCGTATGATTTTTTTCTTTCCCTATTAAGGAGAACTTTCACCTTTCCACCTAAAGGATGCACTTTACAGCTTCTGTTTGACTAGCATCATTACACTTATGCACTGAGATCAGTGTGTGACTTGAACCCAAGCACCATGATCCCAGGGCAGCCAATCTGGTGACCTGTATGACTAAGTGACTAATCCACAGGAAACGCTAGACAAAGAGATGATTCACCTCCCAGACGAGATGGAACAAGATGGCACAAGATTTCATCTTGCTGATCAGAATGGTGCCCAATTTAAATCTTAGGAATTGCTTATTTCTGGATTTTTCTGTTTAGTATTTTCAGATGGACGTTGACTGTCATTAACTGAAACCTTAGGAAGCAAAGCAGGAAATAAGAGGGACTCTTGAGTATTAACGATTTATTCACATTGAACTCACAGCCACTAACACTGTTACTCAGGCATGAACAAAGCTTATCTAAAATATACAGTCTTTCTTCAAGGCACAGCACAGCTTCTTGTGCTTAGAAACTCTGGGCAATTCTTCAGTGTTATATGCAGGGCCATTTTAAACAGCTAAATCATCAACAAAAAATGCAGAAATGCAGAAAACATGGCATTAAATGAACATTTTTTTACAGCACAAGAGCTACAATGGGAAAACAAGGACCATCGCCTTGTTCTTCTGCAGTTGGAACCATGTGCATCAGACAACTTAAATTTCCACTGCTTTGAACATGCGCAAGTTTCTGGAAATGACCACAGAGTGCTGTGAGTGTTGATTTCGGAGTTACAAAAAAATTTTGGCCTGTAGGTGAATTCACAAGGACAGAATTCATGAATAATGAAGATTAGCTGAGAAAACATTTAAATAAGTCCATAACAAAAGAAATGAAGAAGCTGTCACACCAGGTTATATCTCCATCCCTGTTCCAGTTTCACAGACAAACCCTCACAAAATAGATAGGTTACAGTAGTATTTGTTTCAGAGAATTCGAAAGGAAAATAATTCTAATCCATTTCTTAGAAGTGAGCATAACCGGATACCAAAACCTGATAAAGCATGTGCCAAAAAAGACAGTTCCAGATCCAGTTCACATCTAAACATAAATGCAAAAATTCAACGTATGTATGTATAATATACATAGAGAAAGGCAGAGAGAGAGAGAAAGGCTAGAGATAGAGTAAAATGAGATTGACTTGAGCAATGTAAAGATGGGCAAAAATTAGTAAATCTTTTAAGATAATTCACCAATGGATAAGTCAAACAATATAAAGCAAATGATCATCTTTAGGAGATAAAAGAATATTTACTAATGTTCAGAATCCACCCTAATTAAAACAAAGCAAAATGACCTCTAAAAAAGGATGAAAAATTACGGAATGCCAGAAGTACCCATAGTTATTTTATATTGGTTAGAATACTAGCCAATACTATTAAATAACTGGAGATTGTTCTAGCATGTGGTTTCAGTGGTTTAGTCACTAAGTCATGTCTGACTCTTATGACCCCATTAACTGTAGCCCACCAGGCTCCTCGGTCCATGGGATTTCCCAGGCAAGAATACTAGAGTGGGAGAAGGAACCCATTTCCTTCTCCAGGGGATCTTTCTGACCCAGGAATTGAACCCAGGTCTCCTGCATTACAGGCAGATTCTTTACTGACGGAGCTACGAGGGAATCCCATGTCTGTCATAATATAGTCTATAACAGAAGCTCTCCTAGAGTTACCAATTTGGAATAGGTATTGTTTATGTGTTAAAGGACTTAAGCAAATTTGTCTTGTTTTAACAACAATGGATAGGCTTCAAATTTCCCTGTAATTTCCCCCCAAATTCACATAATCTTCATGCAGACAGAAGTCTGAGAGCCTGTCCTGAAGAGCCAGCAGGACTTCTAAGCATGCAGGACAGTATTCCTTCCAGTATCAGTTGAGATTCTTGCCATACAGAAACTAGTCCAAGGAACAACTCCACATTGCCTATCTCCAGGACGGAATTCACAGTGGCAGCCATGCCTTCACAACTGGTCAAGATGAACATGGCACTGACCTCAGCAAGCAATGGCCAACTGCAATAGCTGCCAAGGAAAAGCTATGGCCTTACCCCAACTCTCTGTTCTGACAAAGTAAATATTTGAGGACTTAGAATTCTAGGGATTTTACTGAGTGTTCTAGTCAATGATTTTTCTATTTTAACACAAGTTGTTACCCACATCCCTTAATTTGTTCTGTGCCTGCGTGCTCAGTCAATTCAGTTGAGTCAGACTCTCTGCGACCCCATTGACTATAGCCCACCAGGCTCCTCTGTCCATGGAATTATCCAATCAAGACTACTGGAGTGGGTTGCCATGCCCTCCTCCAGAGGATTTCTCTCTGAAATCGTGTCTTACTTTGCTTCTGCTTTATTTTTTAATTGTGATGAAAACTATTAGTTTTCAAACTTGCAGAATGAACATGACTTGTATATGATTGTAATTTACTGAACTGTTATTGGGTTTTTAACAGCTACAATATTTTCCTTCTCTGGGGTTTTGAGACTTTACATTTACACCTAGGGCAGATAAATTCTATGCTGCCCATGCCGCAGTCCTTGCCCCTTGTTACCATCTCTTTGTTTTGGTGGTTTCTTCTTCCCTCCAGGCTGATATGGCCTCAGGGTATAGTCTGCAATTATAAGACTTGCTAGAGATTCAAAGATATATGAAATACAATTACAATATAGGAGGAAATTAGCAGTCAACTCTAAAAATTTAAGAGTAAAATAATAAAATAAAGTAAGACAGGTTGAGGAAGGAGGGAAAGGGAAGAAGGGAGGATGGGGGAGGGAGGGAAAGAAAGAAAGAAAAAAAATGTTGCATGAGGAGATAAAGAGAGGCAACTTCATTCTACTGGTAATATTAAGAAGTAATAATTACTCTTTTAGATTAATTATATACCATATTTATTATATTATATTATATTTATAAATATGTATTATGTTTATTTAAGAAATACAAATATTTAAAAAGTTGAGATGAGTTTTAAGAAAAGAGAAAATCTTACCCTGCCAAGTACACACACTACTGCATTTCCTTTACAACAGATCTGATGCAAGTTTTTAATATCGGCGGCCAGCTTGGTAATTTCAGAAAAATTAGCTTTAGGTTGCTTTTTAGTCAACAGAACCAATTCCCTGGGGAGAGAAAAGTGCATTTTTAAATTTTTGGATTCAATTCTTTCTAAAATTAGTTCTAGTTCAATGAGTAATCAAAAGAATAGAAGTACATTTGCAAATGTAGGGTAAAGATAGTTGCATATTACATTTTCTATTTCTTCAGTGATAGAACCAAGAGCCATCCAAAAATCTAAGTCACAAAATGAAAATTATTCAGTTCATAATCATGTAAGTACGGTCATTGTCATTATTCAGATTATTGCTTAAAGAAGTTGAGTTGCTTGGACAAGTACTTTGGGAATTTATCTGCCCTATTTCCAAATAAAATTCTTTTCCATAAAGACATTAATTATAAAAGGATTGGTTCTCCCTTGCCCCTCTATGTTGACAATTGAACAACATCCCTGAAATTTTTTTTGTTCTGTTGTTCTTTAGTCACTAAGCTACGTCCAATTTTTTTGTGACCCAGGGACTGTAGACTGCCAGGCTCCTCTGTCCATGGGATTTCCACATAAGAATACTGGAGTGGATTGCCATTCCTTCATGACCCAGAGATCGAGCCTCGTCCCCTGCTTGGCGGTAGGATTCTTTACCACTGAACCATGAAAAATAGGCTCGCCTTATAAGAAGAACTGAGCTTCCAGGCAATGCAATATTGTCCTTAAATGGGTAAGAAGGTGATATAAGGAAGATGCATGTATTCAGGGGTAAACAGAAACAAAATCTGGGCCAAGAAAGAGACACGTTGAGTGACATCAAATTCTCCTCCCACCCCACACTCCTCTATCCCCACCCCAAAAACACCACTCAATTTTTGTTTTTTTGTGACATTAAAGCCAAAATCTGTCTTATCTTCCAAGGGAAAAATACCTTTTGTCCTCCAGCCTTAACCATACAGAACAACTAAGGGTATGAATCTGAATATAGAGAATCTTTTGTACACTGGAGAAGTCTTAAAAATTTGAGCTGCTGGAAGGTATTAGGACAGGAAACAGTGAGTGGAGACGAAGACTGTGCAATGTGAAGCATAGCCCAGGGTGCCCTGCTGAATAGCCGAGTAGCACCCCTGTAGAGATAGGAACCAGGTTCGTGCTGAGAGACATTAGTGAACAGAGATAGATGATTTTTCAATGAGTTCAATCAGAGGGTGATCCAAAGCAGCAAAGTCCACAAATCTAAGTAGGTAACTTACATGGCTGTTGCTACTTTGTGGTTGAATTTAATCCCAATTTCACATAAATGGTGATGCCTCAAAGATATTTCTCTAACGTACTTTCTGGTGGGTTCCAGCTGTAATTAGAAAAATGACTCATCAAAGAACTATGGTAATAATTGAAAAAGTTCACCTCATGGTTAGTAAAGAAGAGAAAAAAATCATGTATCTTCTCAAAATTAAAAAGTCTTTATTGTCTTACCTCTGAGACCAAACGTAAAAGCATAATGTTGGTGAAGGTTCTGTTTTTTTGTTGTTGTTTTTTGGGTTTGTCTGTTTTTTACAAAATAGCACTCACTTCTCCAGAGAGCGTTTGTCCCTTAACTTAGACATTGATGTATAAATGAGAACAAGACAGTGAACAAACAAGAACCCAGAGGGCCAATGGAATAAATTTCAATAATGTCTTACAGTTGTATTTTGATTTTATTCAAGTTACTAGCCCTGTCATCTTGAACATGTCTTTAAATACTTGTCTATAATATATGCTCTAGCTTTGCAATATAAATTAATGGAGCCCCCCAAAATCTTCATATTCTTTAACTCAGAATTTTGACTTCTGAAACTCTATTCCAAGTAAATGTCTCTGAATAAATAAAAATATAATTATTCAAAAAGAAGAATATGTATGCCTTGCTATGGTAGCAAAATTTTGGACATAAAATGTCTCAAAAGAATAGAGATGCCTAAGTGAATAATGGCACATTGTTTTTGAAAAGATGTACACTTTTAATGTAAAGTACATATGTTTAAGTGTCTGTTCAAAACTGTATATTCAATTTGGTCACAACAATGTACAAAATAAAACCTGTGAATGAAAAAAAATGAATAAAAGTAAGTATACCAAAATTAGTATATCAGTGTGGTGATAATATAACTAACATTTTAAAATTTCAGAATAGCTCTATATATTGACTTAAAACATTATATTGACCATATATTAATTTTACTTTGGGTAACAATATCTTACAATGCTTTTTAAAGAACAAATTAAAAAATATATACAGAGGCAATATTCAAATCATAAATCTGGTCCTATGATAATATTTATATTTATAATTAATTACAAATATAATTATTATTTTGTTCCTATTTTGTTGTGTTGCACTTATTTGAAACCAAATACAAATAAGATTATTCTCTTCTTCACAAGAGAGTCTGTGAAGGCTTAACTCATAAAGCACATTCTGTGATCACTGACACCACTTTCACATGATTGACTATGCAGTCTTCTCTGGGTAAGGATTAAGAACTCCTGGGAACAGACATTCTGGAGGCAAGCAAGACTGTAACCATCACAGAGTGAGGGAGATGAGAAAAGAACTTAACTAATTCAAAAGCACCGGCTTATGCTTAACATAGAGGGACACATAGCTGGACCTAGAGATTATTGTACAAAGTGAAGTCAGACAGAGAAAGACAAATATATGACATTGCTTATATGTGTAATCTGAATTAGTGGTACAAATGAACTCATTTATAAAACAGAAATATAGAGTCACAGATATAGAAAACAAACTTGTGGCTACCATCAGGGAAAGTAGAAGGGAAGGATATATTTATTGGGAGATTGGGACTGATATATACACACTACTATATATAAACTAGATAACTAGTAAGGACCTAGTGTTTAGCACAGGGAACTCTACTCAATACCGTGAAAAGACTTTTATGGGGGTAGAATCTAAAAGAGAGTGGGTCTATGTATATGCATAACTAATTAACTTTGTTATATAGCAGAAAGTAACATAACATTATAAATCAACTATACACCAATAAAGATTTTTAAAAATTATAAGGGCATATTATACATCAAGATAAATCAACTATACACCAATAAAGATTTTTAAAAATTATAAGGGCATATTATACATCAAGGAAAACTTTCCTCTGGAAAGGGTTAAAATTAAGAAAACTTTGCAACAAATTAGCTGAAAAAAACTAGCAGTCATGAAAAAGTTCATTCTTCCAAATGCCTGGTAATGAAACATAAGTCTACACACTCACTTGTTTTTGCTGTTTTTAACAATATGAAACCAAAAGGAGAAAAAAAAATAACTGTCCTGCTTAGGGATTCAGAATTTGCTTCTGAAGCAACTTTGCTTCTGGAGCTAACTAGGGGAAGAATGGAAGAGAGGTAAGAAATATACATGTGTGTGTATGTGTGTGTGTGTGTGTGTGTGTGTGTGTGTTTGTGTGTGTGTGTGTGTGTGTAGCTTTAATGATAGCTATGATTATTTCATGCTTAGTGTATGCCAGAGACTCTTTAGACACATTATTTAATTTCTTACACAAGGTAGAAGATGAGGAGCTCAATAGGAGAAACATAATTAAAGGAATAGAGAAATAGGGATTGAGAAGAATATGAGAGAAATTCTCACTGAAGAGATCAAAGAAAACAGCAAGAAAATGGTGGTACTGCATTTAGCCTGGAGGAATTCATTAAAATGATTATCAAACTACTATTCATTTCAGTGTAACCTTCAGAAAATCCATCTGGTGTGCCTTCTAAAGACAGTTATTTTATGTTGGTATCCAGAACCTTTAATGAGCATACATTAAAAAGTACTTTTATCATGGAACTAATCACTGATTTACATCTATTCAATGAAGGAGAAAAGGCCATATGGTTAAAATTAAATGTGTGGCTAATGGTATTTTCCAGGGTTAGCTACAGTAAAGTCTTCTATCTCATGTTTTCTTACAGTGAGCTTTTGTTAGAGTGTATTTACTTTCCCCTTCAAAGGTTTGTGGTATTTCAGCCAACAGAGTATAACAAAGGTAACTTTTGAAGCTTGGTCATAAAAGGCCATAGGACTTCTGCGTTATCCATAAGAATACTCATTCTTGAGACTATGGCCATATGTCAGCAGTCCAGCTGCCCTCGGGCTGCCACGCTGTGAGGAAACCCAAACCAGCCAAGTCAGTGAGACCATATGGAGAGGACCTAAGGTAATATGAGAAGAAAGAGGTGTTGAACCAGCCCCTAGGTGCTTCAGCCCTTCAGAGCCCCAAATCCAACCATTGTCTGACTGCACCACATGAAAAATCAGGATCCAGAACCATCCAGATAAACCCTGCCTGAATTCCTGACCCACTGAAACCATAAGAAATAATAAAATAATTGTTATTGTTTTTGAGTCACTAAATTTTGGGGTGTTTTGCTATGCAGAAATAATAATTGAAGTATTAAATATGTATTATGAAGTGATATTTGTGCTGGATCTTGCTTCTCAGATTTTGAGGACTATATAAATGGCCTGAGTATCTTGTTAAAATGATGTCTTATTCAGCAGGTCTGGAGAAGAGCTTCATTCTGCATCTCTAACAAGCTGCAAGGTAATACATATGCTGCCAGTCCACAGTCCACACTTAGCATAACAAGATCCTAAATAACAACTGACATATAAATAGTTTACCTTTGTCTGGAAGCATTCAGTCTTATTTTCTTCTCGGCAACATGACTGAACAGCTGTTTCATAGCAAACAGACATGGTTAAAATAGTGGGTCCATACAAGAATGGATGCTTCCTAGAAGTTTCATAAATGTACCTATAATTTGACAAATAAAAAGTCATAATAATGGAATTATTATGGAATGATATAATTCAGAATTCAAGAACATGTTCTGACACTGTTTCTTAAGAACTTATGATTCATTTAGTTTTATTGACCTGAAACTTCTAGAATTTCATGGTAACAGAAATGGGATACCATTACACTTAAATGTTTCAAAGGTTCACAAGAGACAGGTCATTGTGAGGTTAGACAGTGCCCAAGAAGTAATCCACTGTATCTTCTGGGCCAGTGAGAAAAGGAAATCACTAATTAAAAGTGTTCATTTTTATATAAGTAGTGAAAGTAGAAAGTTCAATAGTCTAAACTGATTGTAAATGGAAGATAGTACAGCTAGTAAAGGCGAACTAAATTTAGAAGTTATTGGTGGATGAAGAGGAATCTTTTTTTTTTCATTTATTTATATTAGTTGGAGGCTAATTACTTTACAATATTGTAGTGATTTTGCCATACATTTATAATAGCCAGGACATGGAAGCAACCTAGATGCCCATCAGCAGATGAATAGATAAGAATGCTGTGGTACATATACACAATGGAATATTACTCGCCCATTAAAAAGGAATCTTTCAAGATCACCTGTAAGTTCTTTCTAGACTATGAAAGTTTATGCCATTGTCCTCCAAGATGTGTCACTCAATATTTGGGTTTATGACTAAATCTGAGTATTAATTTGCTTCTCAAATTCATTCTTTTCTATTTTTTTACACTTTTAGGTCACATTTTGTAGAATGTGGGATCTTAGTTCCCCAACAGGATTGAACCAATGCCCACTGCATTGGGAGTTCAGAGTCTTAATCACCACGTGGTGCTTGTATGCTTGCTAAGCCACTTCAGTCATGTTCGACTCTGCATCCCTGTGGACTGTAGCCCGCCAGGCTCCTCTGTCCATGGGATTCTCCAGGCAAGAACACTGGAGTGGGTTGTCATGCCCTTCTCCAGGGAATCTTCCTGACCCAGGAACAGCACCCATGTCTCTTATATCTCCTCCATTGGCAGTCAGGTTCTTTACCTCTAGCACCACCTGGAAACCCCAGACCACCAGGGAAGTCCCTCTCAAATTCATTCTCTACACTCACTATGGAGCCTGGGCACCAGACCTGTCTTCTACTTATCATCATATCTCCTCACACTATTCCACAAAACTTGCTCAAATTACTTACTCACCATCCCTCCTCCCATACACAAATACCCAATGAAGGTTGACATCGCAGACAAAAACTGGCTTAAGGCTCAAACAAATCCATTTTCTCTTATAATCACAGGAAAGTTTCTTTTCAAGCCTCCCTTGCAGTTAGGTGGGAACATGTAACTGAGTTCTAATCAATGAAATATGAATAAACATGCCATATACCACTTCTAGGCTTGGCTGTTAATTACTTTGCGCAGTTCTCTGTTCTCTTTCTTTTTCAAAGTAACTTTGAAACACATGCTCCAGGTGGTATAGCTCCAGTATATAAGCATCTTTCATTTCTGAGTTACTTCTTACAGGAAAGTTGTCAGGAGCTGAGCTGAGCTGAGCTGGAGAAGGCTGAGAGGCCAAGTGTCAGAGCAGCTAATGAAGACAAAAGCCAAAATGAAAGTGTAGTCAGGCTTCAATTATCTTCAGGGATAGTATAATCAAAGGGGCTTCCCATGTGGCTCAGTGATAAAGAGTCTGCCTACACTGTAGGGGATGTGGGTTTGATCGCTGGGTCAGGAAGATCCCCGAGAGAGGGGAATGGCTACCCACTCCAGTATTCTTGTCTGGGAAATCCCATGGACAGAGGAGCCTGGTGAGGTTCAGCCCATGGAGTCACAAGAGAGTCATTCTCAACTTAGCGACTAAACAACAACTTAAGCGAAAAAAGAAAATGAGGTCCTCCCCTCAACTTTCACCCCAGACTCAACCTGCTTACTCTTGAAAGTTTGATCAGCAGGCTTGTTTCATTTCAGCAAGGTTTCTTAAGCCTAACTTGTAGAGGGGGGGAAAAAAAAGGAGAATTCATATTATTAAGATATAATTGCCACCCAAGAAAAGGCAAAATTCTTGGCCAATAGGAAATCTCAATGGAGTTGTTCAGTATCTTTGCTCTCTATTGGGTACTAAGCTAAACTAAGACTTCATTTTTGTGCTGCAGTAGCTTAGTTCCTCTCAGGAATTTTCAGTACAAGCCAATCTAATTTCAAATCTCCAAAGGCAAAGTTGAACTTCATATGAGGAAAAAACTTTCTAATCATCAGAGCCATTTAAAAATATAATAGAAAGTCCTATTGTAAAGTAACACAGAGTCACACTTGGTTGGAAGTTGGGTACTAAAGTAAGATATACAATAAAATTTTACCATGATCAAAACTGTTTTTGAAAACTCCTTAGATAATCCAAATGTACAAGAAAGTATACATGTATGATATACTATCTTTTGATAAGACCAAAATAGCTGACTTTTCCTCCAGCTTTGATATGAGTTACTGTTTCTTTGGTTGAGAATTAAATAAAGTTGTTGGCTTATAGTATGAAGCAAGTAATCAGAAAATTATTTTCCCCTGAATATGTATAGCTGTATGCACTTAAGTTAAATTAGCATATAAAATTACTCCACAATGCTGACTTTGGAGAAGGAAATGGCAACTCACTCCAGTAGTCTTGCCTGGAAAATCCCATGGACAGAGGAACCTAGAGGGCTACAGTCCATGGTGTCTCAAAGAGCCAGACACAACTTACTGACTAAAGAGTAACTGATTTCATTGTAAATGTTCAAGAAGAGATTAGATTCACTACCTGAGTGTTAGTTAGGTTTTATAATCTCTAAATGTTCAACCCAAACCTGATTTTATAACTCTCACCTAGAATGGCTAGTAAATAGGTAGCCAAGCTCATATTTTATTTTCATTTGGTTGCTCCTCATGTCAGACAAGTTAGAACCTGCCCAACCCGCTGTCCCTTAGTCTTTTCACCCTCAGTGACTGGGCCACTTAAGTTCTTCTTGAAGGCTCAGTAACTCCTGGGAGGTTTCTGGATGGTTGAATTAAAGGTGTTTACATTGTTCAGCATCAAGTCGCCAGGTCTGTTCATTCACTTCTGGTGTACAGTTTAATGTCTAAAATCTGAAATTATGAATGATAGAGTCAGCACCATGCTTCTTGCCCTATATCCAGCACTCAGATCCTTCCCTTATTCCTGGTATCTGTCTGTCTTGACCAAATGACCAGAACTGCATTCCTTGAGCACTGAAGCTTTGTACTTCTGTCGTTTTTGTCTCTCTTGGTGTTGGTTTCCTGCCTCTGTACCCAAGCTACTTGCTAAAGATAGATGTCTATGCTAACTAAGAAAACAAAATATGAGCACACCTACCCATGGGCTATAATGCTATCCACTGCAGGCAGGAATTATTGAATCAGAGTTCTTGAGTAGAAAAATGATCTCTGTCCAATCTACTGTTATTATTTATTCCTAGGTTCCCAATGACAGATTCGAGGCCTGTCAGATATCCCTCCTGTTATACCTTGGTGAACCTCCCAAGTACTGGCCCCTTGCCTAAGCTGTTACCTGCCCTCTATTCCCAATACTCTGCCTATTATGCTTTGCCTACTAGATTGTAGTTTTCAGCATCATTTGCTACTGGTCTGATCGATCTAACCTTTAAGGATATGGGTCTTTACAGATCCTAGTCATTTTTAGCGTTTCATGACACAGACATTTTCATGTCCTCCAGGGTTTGCTAAGATCATGTTGTCATTCTGAAGGAAAAAAATAAATTGTAGATCAAATTTTTACTTTGTTTTTATATAATAAAGCATTGTGTACTTAGAGGCTTTATCTCAAAATCTGTCTTCAAAATTAGAAAATACTCTTTTTCAAAGACCTGGCAAGGAAAAGTGACTTACCCGTCTTTCACTGGCACTTGATTCTCTTTGCCCATTTCACAGATCTGCTCAGGATTTGAAATCTGGAATATTTCAGTGTAACCTGTATCATCCTTTTCATGTAATAGGAAGCACTTATGTCTTGCTGTCTTATTTATGTTGCAAGAGTCAGAAAATACACCTTTGTCAGCCATTCCTTGGTTACTGCAAATATGCTCTAGGAAGATAGCCATCTGTAGAAGGAAACAATAACATGAGGGAAGGCACGATGATCCACATTCCTAACCATAGAAAAGTTCAAGGATTATAAAGAAAAGGCAACTCAATGTATAATCTTACACTCCATATCCAGTAGTCCTTGGACATAGCTCTTTTGAGCAAAAGTCTTTTAAAAGATTGTTAAGTCTCATGTGCTAGACATTGGCCAAATAGAATATATCATTCTCTCCCTACTTATATAAGTGTTTAATTTTCATACAGCTGAGAGGTATTAAAATAAACATAAGTCAAAATGGCCAGGGCCTAAAGAAATCAAGGTATTTTTAATAAGTATTATCCACCAAGAAATATGTGATGGCTTGCTTCCCTTGTTTCATGATGGCTTTTAGTTGGTTTCCATGGGGACTTATTTTAAAAATTGAGCTCTGAGGCAATGTGTGTTCAGTGTCAAATATTCTAACAGAATTGTAATGATTCAGTTTTCAAATGCCTTTGGATGGCAGTAAATGTGTGGGATGCTGTAAACTTCAAATGACATTCCACATTTAGGGGATACAGTCAGAAAAAGGTCATCTCTTGAAGTGGAAATAAGAACTCACTGTACAATAAGTGCAGAAGTATTTCATGTAAAGTGTGTTTCTAATAAAGCTAATGATTTTTCTATGACTGCGTGCATACCCTGCTAAGTTGCTTCAGTTGTGTCCAACCCTGCCAACCCTTGGACTGTAGCCCTCCAAGCTCCTCTGTCCATGGGATTCTCCAGGCAAGAACACTGGAGTGGGTTGCCATGCCCTCCTCCAGGGGATCTTCCCGACTCGGGGGTCGAACTTGCGTCTGATGCATTGGCAGGCGTTTCTTTCACTATTAGCAAGCACTACCTGGGAAGCCCTTTCCTATGACAACTTAGACTCTAATAAAAAATAGATAGGTTTTAGCCCAAGAAGATAGAGTGGGAAAAACCTATAAATAGAGAAGAAAACTATTTGTATTTAAATTGTTGATATGAGAATAATTGATCCCAAAATATGTAGATTATAAGAATAATGTTGATATGCTTATCAATGATTTTTCTGAGATTTCTCTGGTAGACCAGTGGTTAAAACTTCACCTCCTAATGCATGGGGTATGGGTTTGATTCCTGGCCAGGGAGTGAAGACCCCATATACCTTACAGCCAAAACACCAGAACACAAACAACAAAAGCAATATTGCAACAAATTCAATAAAGAGTTTAACAAAAAAGAATTTTTATAATCACAAGATGCACACTTTATAAAAGACAATAGCAATTTTCAAGATTTTCTACTAAGTGGGTAAAAAAACTATAATAATATTCACTTTCTTCTTTTTTATATTCTCTTAGACACTTTTTTAAATCAGTATTTTAATTTCCCAGGAATCTTCATATGAGCTGTCAGACAATAGTAGTCTAGTGACAGAGAAAGAGCAATCAACTTAGATGAACAAGCTGACATCCTAGGGTATAATTCATTCTCTCAAGTCTTTGGTTCTCAGAATGTGATCTCCTAGACATGAACTTAATAAACTGTAGGTTCATAAACCTGCAAAGATTATATCTTGAGTGTGACTCATGTACATATTTTGCATTAAAATTGCTTGCTTGATTATTCAATCAACACATCCCACAGCAACATTTTTTGTTTGCAATTTAGTTTTGTTTTTTTTTTTTTCAATAGAAAAAGGCAGAACATGATTCACCTACCAACTGGTGACAGGATGCTGAAGGTAATTCATGTGACTTGAGGGTCTTGCACTTTTCTGCAAGATCTAGCAACTCTTGAGCTATGATTTGTACTTCTTCATAAGTCAGTTTCTGAAGAAACTATGCAACCATAATGCTAGTGCTGAAACAAAACACTTGTGTGAATGTTGAAGCCAATCAAACCCCTTTCCTCCATCAGTCTTGTTATATCACTGCCCTACTCCCCTACAAAATAATATGAGTGTAAATTTCAAATAAAATTTCTGATAATAAAACTCACATAGCTCTTAAGTTCTCCTCTAGAAAATTCTGGTCGTTTGTTTGCTGCGTGGCTGGGAAAAAAGAAAATGAGATTTTTATTTGCAAAAGAGGAAATTTTCCAAGTTGAAATTCCCTTTTTACAATTCAAATCTACATTTATTCACTCATAAATTTCCAGATCTGTTTTTGTTTACATCATAAATCAGGATACATTTTATAAGAATATATATTTTCTTGTATTTGGGCTTCCCAGGTGTCTCTGGTGGTGAAGAATCTGCCTGCAATTCAGGAGATATAAGAGACGTGGTTCAATCCCTGGGTTGGGAAGATCCCCTGGAGGAGGGCATGGCAACCCACTCTGGTATTCTTGCCTGGAGAATCCCATAAGCAAGGGATCCTGGTGGGCTTCAGTCCATGGGGCCACAAAGAGTTGGACATGACTGACCAACTGAGAACATTTCTTATATTTAACCTGTATTCTGTGAATGATTTATTTATAGTCCAAAATATCATGTAGTTGAAATCTGTCAAATATATATTCTTCTCTGTCATTGGCCAACAAATGTTACACATATCTGTATTGACACTTTTGAGTTAGCTAAACTTGACTTTTTAATTAAATAACTCTTATTAGAAGTTACTAGCACACTCAAAGAATACTAAGAAAATTAAATGCTGGCATTAGGAACAATATAAACATTAGTACTTTGCTAGTCTTAATGTGGCAAAGACAGTATCTCATACATCTAAGATTTACTCAACATCTTCATCACTCTCGCTCACCATGTACACATACACATGCTCTCTATTGAAAATATGTCTTCCTTCTTATACCAATAGCTTCTAAAGAGTTTGCTATTGTGCAGTCACTAAGTCTAAAGAGTTTAGCCGCTATCTGTTTAATAAAGAAATCATATCATTAGCAATATTAACAGGGAAAGGCTTTGGAGACAGTTATTCTGAGTTCAGTTTCTAGCTCTGAAACTGAATATGGCCTTGAGAAAGTAACTTAAGCACTCAGAATTCTTGTGTCTTTATCAATCAAATGTTAATCACTTTTACTATACTGGATAATGGTTAGGATTAAATGAAAGCCTATGTGTGAAGCAATGAGCACAGTGCCTGGAACATAGTAGGTACTGAATAATGTAGCTCATGATATTAGTCTATAAACACTCAATCTAAATGTATTTATATAAACCTAAAATAATTTATCCAATTTTAAATACAAGTTCAAAATATATCATTCTGTCATCTAGACTGGAAGATGTGTGTGTTTCCCCATGTGTTTTTCCTGCTTGTGTTTCCCCAATATATATTAATTCTCTTTTTCTATCTATGAAATTTTGTCATGACGTTACACCTCCTGGCACAAGGATGTATAGATTATAAACAGAATTCCCTACCTGCATCTAGTAAACTTCTCTGAAGAGTCTGACATCTAATGTAGCTGAAGAAAATGAAAAAAGATATGAATCTAACAGTCTTCATTATTTCAGATAAACTTTATAGAAGGTGTTCTATCATTTGAGAGAATTGAATAATCCTTTTATATTCTTTCCAAGTAATTACTATTAATAATTAAACTTCTTCTGGTGAATATTTTCCCCAGGCCACTATAATCCTGAAAAAATTAAAGAGATTCATGATAATGAAGAAATATTTCTGATAGCATTCATTAATGAATACTGGATTTTAAAATGAGTCTTGTGAATCTACTTGTTTTTTCAAGGTTACATCACACAGAACTTGAAATAAAGTAATCAATAGATGCTTTTGGTAAATACCTGATTTCCTAGAAATGCCTGTTGACATGTACAAAGTTCTAAAATGGCAGGAGATCAAGTAAACACATACAATGACAGATTCAGATAAATGATGACGACCCTAGTTCCAGTGCTGGACACATTTTTAGGCCCCTAGTGAGAGTGGGGAGCACAGATTTGGGAAGCAAACCCATGAGAATGCAACCTAATTTACTGAGTGTTTGCTGCAAGTCTAGCACTTTATATGACTGTATTTAGGTAGCAGTATTCTTATTTCTTGAATAATAAGTGAAGACTCAGGCTCATATAATTTGCTCATGGACTCACAGGTAGAAATTCAGGTCTTTCTGATGTCAGAACTCACACCATCCAAGAGCTAGTAGTAAAAGTTGAGATACCAGCTTTTACTGCTTTCTGCTTTGCCTATAATCCAGTTCTTTAGTCTAGGGTAGGACACTGGTGACTATGAATTAACTTAGAAGTTCAAGCTAAACTTAAAGCCCCAAAGTTTTGGGAATGGGAGACCTGGTTTCTACTTTAAAGTAGACTGGTTTCTACTTTAACCATTCCTGTCCTCAGTTTCCTCATTTATAAATGGAGGGTCTGGATAAGATAATCTTTAAGACTGGAAGCTCATTGCTTGATTTTGCTACACACATAATTTCATATCTGGTTTCCTAGGCAAAAAAAAATATCATAAGTGAAAGAGATACATTTGCCTGAAAAACAACAAATCTGTCATTACTTAGAGTTGGGACACGTTAGCTTATGGTAAAGAATATGGATGACTTGTGTGGTATAAAACCACGCAAGGGAAGACTGTTTTGCCAGGTTTCCATAGGCTTTCCAGGGTTCCCTAAACAGTCCTAATGCTCAGCATCTCTTTCTGTCTTGCATCCTTATAGTGGCTCCCTTGAGACCATACTCTAAGCTTCCTGGGGCTACCAGAAACGGACCTGTTACTCTAGCGATGACAAATGCTTTGGATGACTGCTTTCAGACTGTCACCCTTTATATACATTACTCTTTCACTAGAATCATCCACAGCACCATGCCACAAGACAGCCACCATTAACTGATTGGAGCTGGCACTTAAAAAAAAAAAACTCTTCTATGTGTGCTAAACTAGTTCCTCTTTTTAAATAAAAATTATTTTTGGACAAAATTAACTTCTCATAAGCATCCTTCTCTCACAGTAAGAGATTCTTTAAAACATAGAAGGAGTTAAATTTTTTATTAGTGACTGATAGTGGAATTTTAGATCAGAGGAAGGACAGGTTGTGGGGATTGTTTAAGCAAAGGCTAAGGAATGGGTTTTGTGATAGAATTCAAAAGATGAACAAAAAAAAAATTTGTTCTCTAAGAGAAGATTTCCACACTGATCTTTAAGATAAAAAAATGGAAGTATAACACACAATGGTGATTTTTAATAAGTATTTTTACCACAAGCCTAATTCTTGTCCAAGTCATAGAAATAGAGTTTGAAGGAACTTTAGAAAAACCAAGGCTGGATCCCTAGATCCTGCCAAAAACCTGGGTAGTGACTGCTCATGCATGTGCAGTCTTGGCACTCATTATAGCACCATGAGGCTGATGACATTTACAAACATCTCTAGTACTAGAAGTCTTCCTGCATTGACTGAGTCCAGCTATGTTCTTGTCATTGGCATGAGCTCTGTCTGAGCCATACAGAATCAGTATGACTTGCTTTTGTTCCAAATCCTCTCTTTCCAGGCAAAACAAGACTCTTGAAAAAACCAGTTCTCTCCCTCCTTTCTTTCCATCACACTGGTTACCTGCCTTTTATCACTGTGTTCTTTGGCACATCAGTAGAGAGAGTTGTATGGCAGTTTCCTTTATGATTATAGAGTCTTGTGATGGCAGAGGTCCCTGGGTCTTTGGTTTCGTATCTGTGGCTCTTAGCACAGCACTGGACACATAGGAGAATCCACTATCATGTGCAAAATTGAGTTAGCAAACTGCACTGTTTCACTTCTGTTTGTTAAACTTATTATTCATTATTTCAGTAAAATTTTCTTCCCTGTCATCCTTGACAATGAACAAGAGTATTTGGAAAAATGATAGAAAAGAAATTACTGTCTGCTGGCCATTGTATTTGGATACTTCATATAGTAATTTATTACATCTTTTTAAAGCCTTTGTGATGGCGTGATTATTCTTCCACCCTACACCAAGAATTGGAGGTCTTAGATTGTAGGCAACTTGTGTCTAAGGCCATATAGCAAGTTAATAGTAGTAGGAATATAATTCCCTTCTAATCCCCTCCCACCTGCAATTTCAGTTTGGATGGAATGCGGTTGCCACAAGTTCCCACAGCAAGGCCCCTTTTCCATTCTGCACCAATGACATCATATGCGATTGCTCACTGTCTTCTCCCCTGCCCAGTAGACATAAGAATGATGCCTAATTGGCTTATATTTGGTTACATTTGCATTATATTGAATTATATTGTACAATGTCTAACACACAGTAGAGTCTGATAATAAATATTTGTTGAACAAATGAATAAGAATCCCAAATACTGTGCTCTAAATGTTAAACCAAAAGAACTCAATATTTTCATGTATTATATCTTATATGGTCATCATCTTTTATTTCAGACACTGAAACACTAAAAAGCCTTAAGAGTTTAGAGAATAGCCAGGATCATCAAGCCATGGGCCCACAACCAACCTTCACTTCCTGGCTTCCCAGTTCCTACCAGTCCCTCTTTAGATGTCACTGTCAATCACTTACAGTTCCAAAATAACAGCAGTTTTGATGTGGAATGGAGGGAGAAAAGAACCACTGCAGCTGATGCCCTGGCCCTTTCCCCCCTCTCTGAATAACAGATTTTATAGGGCCCCCATGACACAGCCTTACCTAGGAGGTAATGTATACATTGGCTAAGAATATTGTTCTGGAATTAGAGGGTTCAAAGTTAAGCTTTTAGTTCTACCAATTACTGATTATATGACATTGAACAAATTAATTTATTTCCCCAAGCCTCAGTTTCCCTGTCTGTAAAACAGGAATAAAAAATGTTTACTTCATAGAGTTGTTAGGATTAAATGAGATAATACATCAGAAGTACCCACACAATGTTTTTACAATGAAAACATTCAATCCCAGCTAGTATTAGTAGGAGGAGGAGGAGGTGGAGGCATGCTACCAGCCCACAAGATCCCATTTTCTCCCCAGTATCAACAAGAACAGAATCTGTGCATATTCTGTCCACAGAAGTGCTATTTCAGAGTCCTGTCTCCCATAAAGTCATAGATTTATTCATTTTGCTGTACAGTAGAAATTAACACAACATTGTAAAGCAACTATGCTCCAATAAAAATTAATTTAAAAAGAAAAAAGTAAAAAATATTTTTATTAAAAAAAGTAAATTTGGCCAGTGAACCAATGATGCTGATGGAATGAATGACTCGATTGTTTCATTTTGTTAACAAGTTGACACATGACATTAGTCTTTGAGAAATAACTTTATAATGTTGTTGTTTATTGCTTGCTGCAATAACATTGTCTCATACAACAGGTACAGAAGAATCTGTTTACTGTGTTCTTTTCAGAAAATGAAATTCACCACAGGACAGCTAGGAAGTAGGTAAGTTGGTCTTCCTCTCTTTTTCGAGAAACCTGGAAAGAAAAAACAGTATCTTGTGCAGCAAGGGAATATGAAATGATAGAAAGCCATGTACATGGCTATATACACCATATACATGGGCTAGAAAGCCATAAAAAACTCTTAGTGGTAACTATGTTTTGCCTTTTGCCCTCTGGCCAGGTTGTGGGCAGGCAGGGGGCAGTGTCGAGGTCTCTCTTGCCTGACATTGAGCATCACGCTTTATCTACTCAGCCTTTTGTTCCTAAAGTCTGTGAATAAGTCTTTCAGAAACTGCAGGGGAAAAGGGATCCTTTATATACCTTTTTGAAATTACAAACATATCATTTTCTTTTATGTAAATCCTGCAGTAAGGCTCTTAGAACAAGTTGCTGAGGCCTGTCTGCCCATCCCAGCCCCTTCCTTCCCCTGTGAACTTTCATATTAATAGATTCTTTGCCTTTCTTTTCTGATCCAGACATCTGAGTGCAGTAGCGGGAAGGCAGAAGAGTGGATATTCAGAAAACTGCTGGGACAGTAAGACAGTGCTAGCACGAACACAGTAGTGCCATCCCAGCCACTGAGAGAGACTGACACCCAGAGACACATCACAGGAGCAGTGCTGGGGTTTGTTAGTGCAAGGCCAGGGTGATAAACCAGAAATGTTAGTGCAAGGCCTAGGGGATGAACTAGAAATCGACAGTGAAGCATGAGAGGGGAAAAGCAAAAACGACCAAAGAAGTTACCAGCACATTTAGCCTTTGATTGAGATAGAAGGCATTACCTTAGGTGGGTTTTACTTGATGTTTTTCAAGCAGCCTGACTTTTGGCTGCCAATTTTGGACTCTGAAAGAGAAAAAAATAGAAATAAAAACATATAGGAAAATTTTTGAGAAACCTTCATACTGTTTTCCCACAGTGGCTGCACCAATTTACATTCCTACCAACAGTGTACAAGGGTTTCCAAACACTAAAAATAGAACTGCCTTATGACCCAGAGATATATATCAAAAAAAGAAGGAAAAAACACTAATTTGAAAAGACACATGCAGCCCAGGGACTTCCCTGGTGGTCCAGTGACTAAAACTCTGCACTTCCAATTTAGGGGGCCTGGGTTCAATCCTTGGTCAGGGAAGTAGGTCCCACATGCCACAACTAAGACCCAGTGCAGCCAAATAAATAAATAAATAAAATTTTTAATGAAAAGATACATGTAGACCAATGTTCATAGTAGCATTATTTACAATTGTCAAAATATGGAAGAAACCTTAAATGTCCATCAACAGATGAATGGATAAAGAGGATGTGGTATGTATGCACAATGGAGTATTACTCAGACATAAAAAGGAATGAAATTTTGCCATTTGCAACAATATGGATGGACTCGGAGGGAGACATCGCAAGGAGGAAGCAGGGTCCTGTGGGGAGTTCCATTTTCTTTGTTTAACCGGGAATACCAGTTGAATTCCAGAGAAAAGAGCTGGAAATACCTCCTCCTTGAAGCAGGCCTCAGGCTCCTGGGCTTTGCAGCACTTCTCCATCACATTCGTGAAATCCGCCAGCAATGACCACAGTTTCTCCCCTGCAAGTTCAGGCTTCAGTTTCACTAAGTTGACAAGAAACCTGTGACCCAATGATGTCAAACAGAATCAATTAACACTTTCTTTCTGGAACCCCTCTTCTCCAAAAGCCTTGTTCCAGAATTGTATCTTTAAAATCTCCATTTAGGTGAATGTAAAAATTTTAAATATTCTACTTTTGAAAGGAGATCCTGAAAACTTTCTGCTAAACACATGGGATGGAGTCCATGATAACATTCTTTGGAAGTTTATGCAATAATGGACAAAATTGTATAAAATGTGGGAACATATAGAAAGTCTTCACTGTGCACAATATTGTAGAATATGTGACTTTTGATGTTTCTAGAAAATTCATTTCAAAGTATTCTCTCTTCCTTAGTAACTGAATTCTGTTTCCACTTCACTTGATACAGACACTGCCAACATCCAAAAAAAAATCTGATTTTTGGCATTTATAGCATTGCCTGAGAAAACAAAAGCAAAATTCCTACCCCCTTTGGGCCTCTCATATCTTCAAACATTAAGACAGATTCTTGGAGCAAGCGTCTATGACATTCTCCCAAGAAAATCTGATTCATTATGAACCTACTATGAGCCTTTATATGGCCACCCTCACTCACGTTTTCAAATCACAATCTGGACATTTCAAGTCTCTAGCAAAGGAAAAGACTACGTTTTATAACTGGATAGACTGGACAGTTTGACAGAAGGAACAGAATTATAACATCAAGATCACACATCCATTACAATAAACCTTCTCATTAAAACGTGATGTGTCTTCAGCCTGAAGAAAATGATGAACAGAAGAGAAGATTTGTACCTGTCTTTTTTCCTCTGGAGTTCCTCGTTATGAGCCTGACACAAGTCTGCATGAAAGGTAAATAACTCTTGAGAGGTAGATGGAGGTACATATGTTTTATCAGCTTCCAAGCTCTCAAAGCAGGACCTTCTGAAGGCAAAATTTGTTTTACAACAGTGGTCCACAGCAGGGTTGATATTTCGATTTTCATTTATTCCACATAACTCTCCAAGAACTAAATCCACCTGTACCAATGAAAGTTGCAATGGAGTTTTGAAATATGATAGATGAATTGTTAGCTTGTTCTAATATCACTGTCAACTTAGAAGAGCCTCTGCAATCATAACATGACACTATGTGCAACAAAAAAAATTAGAGACTGAAGTACTAAATGGCATTATAAGAAAAATTCAAACCATAGTAATTTAAATTCCTATAGATTAAGCTTAACATATATACAAATTTGTGACTTCGAGCTGAGAGCTGCAAACAGCTAACTGAAAGCATCAGCAGGACACACTGACCCTTAGATTTAGTCCCCTCCTGGAATGTCCCCCACATATGGGCCACCCCAGACCTAAAGAGACATGCCCAACCCAAACTGGACTGGAAGCAGCAATTCTCTTACTGACCTGGTGGGACAAGAAGGAGAATTTATAGTGTTACTTAAAATTATGAAGTTTTCTCTGTCATCCTGAAGCAATACTATGATTCCAAGTCATTTGCTCTAACAAATTACTTCTAGTATAAATAAGAAGAAATGAGACTTGGCTGTTGGTCCAGTGCTTAAGAGTCTGCTTGCCAGTGCACAGGACACAGGTTTGATCCCTGGTCCACGAACTAAGATCCCACATGCTGCAGGGCAACTAAGCCCGTGCACCCCCAAATGAAGCCCATGCTTTATCAACCCTGCTCTGCAACAACATAAGCCACCACAATGAGAAGCCCATACACCACAATTGGAGAGTGGCCCCCACTTGCTGCAAGTAGAGAAAGCTCACATGCAGCAACTAAGCATCAGTGCAGTCAAAAAACAAAAAAGAAGTAAGAAAGATGATCTGGAGACCCCCAAGCAACTATTCAAGACATTCTCTTTAGTGCCTCAAGATTTTGACACAGAGAGCTAGAAATAAAACTTGACATTCCTTGCATAACAATGTGAAGAGAGGAAGATAGACAATCACTTATAAATCGATGAGTGCAGGTATCCTTTTTTATCTTTTTAGGAACAGTCATGTATGTGGGCCAGGCTTACCAAATTATCAACACAGGCAAACTCTTCGCTCAGGGTACAGCAGGTGGTCAAAGCTATCACCATTTCCTTGCCAAGAAAGGTCAGTTCTTCAGTGGAGAGCTGGGGGGCTAGCTTTGTGAGATTGATGAGGTAGCTGAAAGAGCATATGTCTGTTCTGAACAAAAGCAGAAGCCCGTCTTCCCTTGCTTAGCCACCTGAAACCCCACCTCTGCAAGGCGAAGGACAACCAATGGAAGGGCAATGTGAACCTCAGCTCTCTCATAAAATGGTACAGATCAGTCTCTTCACCCCCCATTTTCCTGCATCCTGCCTCCTATAGATCTCTGTATATGGGCTTCCTTCTAATTTCATGACAATTCAGAAACTATCAGATTTGCCCATCGTGTGTCATCTGTGATGATAAGAGCGCCTTGGCAGAAGGTATCTTGGCTAGCTAGTATGTAAAATCCTACTTGAAATCCCCTGCATTGTAAATAAACATTTCAAAGGGAAAATTTAATAAATACATGTTGGAAAAGGATAATCTGAGATGAAGGAAGCAAGAAACAAAGATCTTTCATGGGCTGAGTTCCCAGCTAACAATCCAACTGCAGAAATAGTGAAAACATATTTTTTAAATTATGTTTTGTTTTGAAGATGTTTGGTTTCAATGTACAATACATTAGCATGGTAATTAATTTTTAAAATTCCAAAAAAAACTTCATATTATTCATGAATGTTCATGAAGTACTTAAAAAACAAATATTAAAGTGTTAAGCAAATCCAAAATTATTTCTTTAAACTCCATAAGATGGGCTTAAATCTTGGGAAGAGCATCTTTTCCTTGGGAAAATATCACAACCTGAAGTTTGCTGCATTCCATTCCCCACGCCTGAAATGGGGCAAAATCCAGCAATTCTGGGTTGAGAGTAAAAAAGTTAAGTCTAAACAAAAACTAAAGCATTAGATAATCAATTTGTCCAAAATCCTGTATTTCTTCCATTTCTAACCTGATTTCTGATAAAGTTTTAAAATGACAGTTTGATGTGAATTCTTAACTCTTGTGACATTATCCTTTCCCAGAATTTATGAATTCACCACAAAAGGGCTGAGCTAAATTTCTGACACTTTGTGGTCATCTTTATTTTATCCTGGTCACAAGGGTTAACCTGCTTGTTCAAACAACTTACTGGTATTTCAAGTCATCCTTCCCCAAATTCTGAAAATGTTCACATTCTCGTTGTACTATCTTGAGGCTTTTCTCTGTTGTCTCATTGAATCTATTTTCCTGAAAATAAGAACAACCATGCTTTTGAAAATTTTATCTAATCATAAATTTAATCATAACATTCATGTTGACTTGTCTAATTTCTTTTTTTATACTTATATAGTATTTTCAAACTATCGTTATCATAAATTAGTCACTAAGTTGAGGGTAGTTTTCTAAATATGTATGTTAATATTTGAATCTTTTTAATTATAGTTAGACATAGAGATATGGTGTTTTCCAAAATGCGGAAGTTTAAATTTTCATCATCACTACGTTGTATATTTTATAGAGCTTTAAAGTCTACAAAGTGGAATTCAAATCTGATGCTGACAATGATCATATAGATTATCCCTCTAAAGTGGCCAGAGAACTGACCTAGTCCTGTGAAGTCAAGTGACTTGCCTAGAATTACCCAATAGGCAAGTATTGCTACAGAACACTTTTAATCACATATATCTTTTTTATACCATTTTTTTAATCATTTAGAATTGGAATTTAAAACCTCCAATAATTGTCTTCAAACATTTGACAAACTCTCACATAGCATAAAGTTGGACACCAACTAAGTGGCTACCAGGGAGAAAACAACACACCAGTGATTCAATGCTGTAGGATGAATTGTGTCTTCATGTAATAAAAAGAATTTTCTAGCACTATTTAAGGATCAGAAACAGACCTCCTCATTAGGGACAGTGGCAAAGCAGGATGAAACAAGTCTTCTTACTTCTTGCTCAAATATGAATGGGTATAAACAGGCATTTTTGGCAAGTGGGGGTAATTTTTTAAGTAAAGCAAAGCAACACATATCAAATGAATGAGAAGCAAATCAAAAATGTCAAATAATTAATTTCTGTAATACACAAAAATACATATGAACTGATATTAAAAACACACTAATTTCAACAGGAAAATCAGTAAAAGATGTGAACAAACTGTTCACAGGAAATTATAAATACAGTAGCTAAAATCATATAGGAAAAGCTTAGCTCCATTATAAAATATATTCTTAAATGTTTAATTGAATCACTTTGCTATGCACCTGGAACTATCATATTTTTAATCAACTATATTCCAATATAACAAAAATCAACTAAATTCTTAAAACACAGTCACTATTTAGCAAAGTTAATTTTCATGTGCAGTGTTGGTGAAGGTGGGGGTGAAACGAACATTTTCAACACTATATTGGACTATATGCTGGTAATAACTTTCTAGATAGCAACTTAGTCATTTATATCAATTATTGTTTTATTTTAGTCTATATACTTTGATGTAGTAATTTTCCTTCTGATAATCTCTCTTAAGAAAATAGTCATAACTATTAAAAGAGATGAATGAAATGAGATACTTAGGGTCACACAAAATTTTTAAAAAGCTAAATAAATGTCCAAAATGTCAAAGATATAGTAGGAGAGCATTTAGATATATTATGATGATAGAATAGCATCATGTAAAATAAAGTGAATTTTTTTAAGTCTGTTTAATAATGTAAAATGTTTTTTATGACAATAAATAAAAACAAATCCAAAAATTTCTTCAGAAAATATTATCCCAATCTTATTTTTAAACATACATATAAATAGATTCATATATGCATAGAATAGATGAAAAAAATGTTAATTAAAGCTATTTATTGAGGACAGAATCAGAAAGTTTTTACTTTTTCCTTTATAACTTTTAGTAATTTCTTAATCATCTTTAATAATCATTTATTATTTTTATAATCATAAAAAATCCAAGATGGCCCAAGAAAACACAAGAGCACATAAATAAAAATATAAATATTTAATCAGAAGAGTTTTTTGCCTCAACACACAGGATTCGTAGTTCTAAATATTATGTGTAACCCATGGCTGATTCATGTCAATGTATGACAAAACCCACTTCAATGTTGCAAAGTAATCAACCTCCAACTAATAAAAATAAATGAAAAAAATTCAAAGAATAAAGAAAAAAGTAAAAATAAAAAGAGCTGCTGAAAAATAAATAAATAAATAAATATTATGTGTAACCCAAAGGGATGATGTTGGTCTTCCCAGGGATCAGCTTACACTGAATTTTGGATAGACTCAGATTGGTCAGTCACATTTTCTACCCTCTGAACCAGAATAAACCTTTGACAGTGTTTACGTGTGTGTTGCTTGGTTTGTTTAATTCCCTGAGCCTGTAGAATGGACCTACCGCACGGCGGTAACACCCAGGAGGGTTTTCCATGTCACAACACTCTTTCAGAAGGTCCTCATACACTTTAGCAATCCTCAACAGCTCTGGCGTGGACAGTTCTGGATGCCTCCTTGAGTACTCATAAAGAAACCTGCAACGTGTAAAATATTTTGTACATTAGAACTTCAAGAAAGAGCAAAACCCCAAATCCTGCTATCTGGGGAGACCTTTGAATACTGAGTCTGCCTTCAAATCCTGTTTCATCTTTCTCTGGTGAAGGAGTGACTTAAGAGGGCATTTTGACAAAAGAGATCATGTTACAGATTTTCCTCCATATTATGTTTTAAAATAGCAGTGTTTTTTACTTGGAGGGATAGAATGGTTAGAGGTGTTTATCATTCATTGTTAAAATAATTTTATCCATAAAGCATCAGAAATAGTAGATCATGCTACCAATACTTCAGGAAGTACATATCAAGTATAATTCTGTTGGAAAATGCATTTGACCTCCATCTTGAGATTTGGGGAATATGGCTTATCCTCACTCCTGGTGCACCTGGGGAGAGATTGTGGAGCAGACTTTGCCCATTACGTCATCCTGTCACTTGTCAGTTATGGGAATAATCACCCCTGCAGGTCCAAATCATTGGCAGCCATTTCCATGGCCTCAGTGAGGTGTTAAAAGGGTACAGGTGGGTGTGATTAGAGGATAAAGTGGGAAAGAGAGAGGAAGAGGCTAACACTTATTAAGCCCTTAGTAGGTGCGAGGCATTGGATCAAGCTTTGGGCATAGGAGACAAAGATTGGCTTCCTAGCCTTTATAAAACACTGTCTCATTTAACTTCACTTAGCCCTCAAGGTAAGTAGCAGTTCACAGCTGAGGAAGCTGTCTCAGCCCAGTAAAGCACCTGGCTCTTGGCTTCCCTGGCGGCTCAGACAGTAGAGTCCGCCTGCAATGCAGGAGACCTGGGTTCAATCCCTGGGTCAGGAAGATCCCCTGGAGAAGGGAATGGCTACCCACTCCAGTATTCTTGCCTGGAGCCATGGACAGAGAAGCGTGGCAGGCTACAGTCCATAGGTCAGGAAGAGCCAGGCACAACTGAGCAACTAACACTGTCACTTTGTAAAATTTGAACTTCGGTCCCAGAGAACGCCTACTTCATTCATTTTTTTATTTTTTACTTTTTTTTTAAACTTCATTCTTTTTAAACCAAGCCAACTCTTCTCTCAAGAGAGCTGTTTTCTTTAACTACCCTGTGCTATTTAAAATTTTCTTCATAGAAATATCATCTTTATTCTTTCGAATTAAGTAAAAATGATCTGTGTCTTGTGAGAATCATACGTCACAAAAGTTTTTCAAGTCCAAGGGACTTTTGTCATCTCTTTTTGTCTTGTAGCCTTTTTCTCTTGATTAATCTTGGCTTTTCTGACATCTCTCCTCTTCACCATTTACCTTCTCAGTCCCAGTCATGACATATAGTCTCATATTCTAAAGCAGTGGTGTCTAACTTCAGAGAATCAAGGGCTCCACTTAATATTTCATAAAAGCCACGAACTTTTGCTCAGAAAAAGAATTGCACCTAAAATCTCACCACCAAAATCTTGTGAACAAAAACCCCTGGAAGAAAACTCCTAGTGTGGCAGATTCACTGAGGTCTTGCCTCAAATATTGGCATCCAGTAAAACTGCAGCTTAAACTGTTTCTGGTTCAGCATGTTCATTGCTGCTCTATCATTTCTCCCCATGCTTCCCACCCTATCTTAGTTGTCATGGTGATGATGATGGAGATGATGAGAATGAGGATAAGGAAGAAAACTGCTTCCATTTAGCAAGTCTATGTCAGGTACAAGTGAAATGCACTGCAACATTGATTTAGTTTAATTTGACTGAGCATCCATGATTCATGAGAAGCAATAGAGCTCAGTGCTTATAAGGACAGGAATCAGGAGCCACACTGGTTGAATTTGACCCCTCGCTCCACCACATATTAGTTGTGTGACTTTGGAGCAAGTTACTTAACCTCTGTGCTGCAGTTTCCTTGCCTATAAAATGATGATTTAAAAAAGTATTCTAACCACAGAAGTTTGTTCTGAAAATTAAATTCATTGACAGATGAGAAGCACTGAAAATTTGCGTAAGTATTCAATAACCTGGTTCTTCAATCCAGACATCCTTCCAGAATTCCAGGTTCATATATAAAATCATCCTATGATATTTCCACTGCATTACTTCACAGTGGAAGTAATTACTTCACACCATCAAAGTCAAGGTGTGTGTGCTAAGTTGCTTCAATCATGTTCGACTCTTTGCAACCCAATGGACTGTAGCCAGCCAGGCTCCTCTGTCTATGGGATTCTCCAAGCAAGAATACTGGAGTGGGTTGCCAAGCCCTCCTCCAGGGGATCTACCCGACCCAGGGATTGAACCCTCATCTCTTACACCTCCTGCATTGGCAGGCAAGTTCTTTACCACTAGCGCCACCTGGGAAATCAGCGTGGTCAGATACAAATAGTTTCTCTTTCCCACAAACCTTCCCCCATACTTCCCATCTCATTGAGTCTGAAAACTACTTACCAACCACCTAAGCCCCAAACTGGGATTCATTCCAGATGAAGTTTCTAAAAGACAAAAGTGATTTTGTCCTTCCTTATTCTTCAATGAAAACCCTTCGGTGGCATCTTGTTACTTAGCATATCTGGATGATCTGACCCCATGTGCCTCTCCCTACCCTCTTTTCTCACTGCAGAAACCCTAGCACAATCACATACACGCCATGCAGTTTCACACTTCTATCAGTGTTCTACCCCTTCTGTCCAGATTATCAGCATTTCTTCAAGTACCTCCTCCCCATCAAGACTTTTCAGAGTTCCCAAGGACTTCCTCTTCTATCCCCATATTGCCTATGGTCTAGTGCTTTCAGAAATTAAAGAGTGTTTCTTGCCCTCATATATTTGTGAGGCTGTCTCTTTCCACATCACACTTCTGTTGATGAAAGCTTATTGGAGGCAAAAACCCTGTTTCACTTGGTAAAGCCCCTGGATTATATTGAGTTGGCCCAAAAGTTCATTTGAGTTTTTCTATAACATCTTGAAGAAAAAAACCCGAATGAACTTTTTGGTCAACCCAGAGTTATTACTGACAAACTTTGAATGACTAAATATTCTCATATGAATTTTACATACAATTCCTAAAAAACAGACAGGTTAACTTGTCCCGATGATTCTACCAGGATTCAAATCTAGTCCTTTTGCTTCCAAGTCAGCTAAACAGTGGTGAGAGTTGGGGGAGAAGGCAGGGGAGAGCCTTCTGCCACAGGGGAGTGGCAGATAAGCCTGCAAATTCTTAGGTCAGACCTCCTGGGTCATATCCTTAGTCTGCCATATTTTAACTGTGAACCTTAAACAAATTACTTAACTTCTCTCTACCTCACTTTGCTCATCTGAAAATTGGGAGAAATCATGCTTATTTTACATGACTGCTGTGAGAATTAAAATAGATAATCCGTACTTAGCCCACTGTCTGGCACATATCAAGTACTCAATAAATGTTAGCCATCACTGTCATAGCGCAGTTGCAATTTCTAAAATAATGTAAAAAGATTACAACCTAAAACCATGATTTTTAAAAATTATGTGATATACCCAATGATTTAAATGGTTCCTATGTCTTCCACCCAAGTTAGCCAAAATAGATCAAGTCATAAGTTTCTGTTTGCCTTATAAATGTCAATATAGAGGTATGTTACTCAGCCATGAAGTTCGCTTGGTCAGCATCTCGTTTCTCACACACATTGTCACTTTCAATAAATTTTGCTTCTCTTAAAGATAAGTCGTTTGGTCTATCATCTTTATTGGAGTAAATGATACACTCTCCACGTTCTGGTATTTTCTTTTCACAGCAGTCTTTGATTTTGCTGGAGATGGAATCTTGTTTTGAACAAATATGACTCATAACCTTGCTCTGTATCAAATAAGAATGAGAAATGACTTTATTTTCATAAGTTCTTCAGGGCTAGATTCTCCTTCGTAAATGGAATGCACTTATGTATAGCATCTAGAATTGTTTCATCAACTAATTTGATAGCTAATTAAATTTTGTATTGATTTAATACAGTGAATTTTCATTTTAATGCAAGCTTGATTTCTTAGGATTTTAGATGATATAATTACAAAAAATAGACTCATAAATTTATTACATATTAGCTGGAATTTTTTTAAAGGTAGGCTAACTCCTGCTTCTTCCTCTAGACTCTTCAGAATGAGGCTGCACATTTCGACTACTCTCTGTTCCACTTCACCTGAACTACACTGAGTTTCATCAAAGTGCTGGACTATTCTAGACACTCGGACTCTGCTCAAGCTGTTCCCCTACTCAGAATCTTCTTCTGGGGAACACTGAAGGTGAGGAATGAGATGAAGCTCCAGGTTGAGATGAAAAATGGAATGGAGATTTGTACCATGTTTCCATCAAACCACATAGAACCAGGGAGTCCATCTTTGCAGACAAATATACATCTCACCTAAGGCCATCATTATTCAGGGCAACACATCTCATGCTGTCTAAAATTTCATTTCTATTTTGAATGAAGTATACCATTCAATTGCTCTTATTTCTACATAAAGCCATCCAAAAAAAGGATATTGAAAATATAATATGATCCCTTAGTCTCAGCTCCAAACTTCACGGAAAACTCTTTAATTATATCCCAATTCAGTACATTTTATTCAATATTATAAAATCAACATCTCTATAAGTGACCAAATAATACACAAATAAACAATGAGTGAGATTGCTTTACACTGCAATAAAGTTAAGGACAAAATTATTCTTGGGGACATCTAATGTTCATTACTGGAAATAAAATGTATATATCTTCATACTCCAAAATTCAAGTTATCTAATGACCATGATGTTTTGATTTGAATTTACAACAGTAAGACTAATTAAAAAATCACTTAAAAAAACTAATTTTAACTAAGAAATCAGGATTATTTTTAATGAAATTGTGTTACCTTCGTATGCATGAACAACTTCAACTAGGTCACTATTATATTTACCAGTATATGTCCTTAAAGAATCACTTTAAACACTACAATAAGAGTTATTTTAAATGTACATATTCATTTATTTGAAAAGACTGTTCCTAAGTATCCTGAAGAAACTCAGAGAAAGCAACTCTTGAAAACATAAAGATCACCAGTCATTTTCTGAGTTTTACTGTTAATTTCTAATATCTCTAACAGAGTATTTGCAATATTAAAGAAAACTTTAGTCTGGTTGAATGAACGTTCACAAATTCTAAATTCCTGGGGATTATGTCATGGGCATTTAGTCACATAAAATAGAATCAACTAAGTAATCTAGAAGCAATCTCATTCTTTAAAAACTCCAACGCTTCATTTGGTCTCATTTGTTAGTATTTTATTTTTTATTTTATTTGGTTCATGTTATTATTTAACAATTGATTTTTACTGAAGTATAGGTATTTTACAATGTGTGTCATATATATATACACACACATATATATATAACTGAACATATATGTAAGGGACTATATTTTTTCAGATTCTTTTTTAGAAGCTATTACAAGATATTAAATGTAGCCCCCTGCACTAAACAGGAGGTCCTTATTGTTTATCTGTTTTATACACAGTAGTGCTATCTGTTATTCCCAAACAATTTATTAACATTATGATTGTATTATAGTGAGTAGCCACACATTAAGGCAACTTCAGAATAAAAAATAGCCACCCAGATCAGTATTTTTGCTTGGTTTTATAGGATATTTACCCTGCCACGGATGCACTGCACAACATCCCCTTCACAGCATCCATCATATTTGGAAGAAACATCTTCTAGAAGGGAGGTAAGTTGCTTAAATTCAATCTTGGGGAATTTTTGACTAAGTACAGCAATGTTTCTGTAAACAAAATTGATAAACCACTAAAACAACTTGAACAGCAAATAGACAAAATGAAGTTCTTTGCTAATACAGTATAGGTACGTGCAGTAAGCATTGGTATCCTTGTTTTTTCACCAATGGCTTTACCAAATAACTGTTTAAACATTACTTGGCCCACATGATCATTTTGAAAATCCTAGGTTGATATTTTGAGTTCTATTTCAGGACCAGGGGGAGAAAGAAGGCCTGAAAGATATGCCCTCTTCCACAATTGTTATAGCAAAACACATTTTTTAAGGACAACCATTTCTTCTTGTGAGTCCATGGCAGGCATAGATAATTCATCACAGCAACCTTTTTCACTGATCTGTTTGAAATCTCAGAATTTCTCACAAAATGTTGCACTAGTCCATTGCTCTTTGTCTAGGTAAGATGTGAAATAAAATGTATCCCTAGAAGGTAGTTTCCTAGTTATTAAAGTCGAAGATTGATGAATAAGTCATGTCTAAAGCACTTGGAGGTTTTAAAACTCTGATTGGGAACTCCCAGACCCATTCAGATTCCCAACTAACCAAAAACTAACTCAGAAGTAACCCTCTCTCTCCCTGGGGTCTCTCCACCTTTCAGGGCTTCTCTCATCCTGATCTAACGTCCTGGTTCTGAGCAATCCAAGCAGATTAACCCCCACCTCAAAACCCCTAAGGATCTAAGAAGAGTATAAATAAAAAGTCATCAATGATTTAACAAAAATGGAACACAGACCAAAAAAAAAAAAAAAAAAAACAAATAGAAACAAAAGATAGATTATAAAACTCACATAAATTGTAAGATTTGTGGTCCAAATTTCATAAGTGCCCCNAAACAAATAGAAACAAAAGATAGATTATAAAACTCACATAAATTGTAAGATTTGTGGTCCAAATTTCATAAGTGCCCCACAGGCATTTTTTTGATAAGAAGACAATGCTTTTAAATAGTATACGAAAGGTTCTGCCTGAAGGATAAAGAGAAAATGTTGTTGAAGCAAGTGGAAAAATCCCACTATTCTCTTATTTCCTAACCACATGTCAACCAAACAAACCCAATGTTTCCTCAGAAATAGAAAACCTACGGGATTTTTTATCTCAGGAAATGTGTATAGCAAAATAAATAGAAATGTGTGGCACATTATAAAGGTAGAGCCAGTCTTCCTGATGACCGAATTACACTTGCTGGGAAGTGCAGTGTGCAGTAATCTTGTCCCTCTCTACCAGCATGATTCACTTATATGGTTAAGGACTTGTCCAAGATAGAAGAGAAAATGTCATTTTTACCCTGGTTAGTTACTCACTAGTGTTTCCTTCCAATTTACAAGGAAAACAAAACCAGAAAAGAGACCCTAGAAATGGGCAATTTTTCAAAGGTCTCAAGTAATGAGAAATTTAGATCAGTTAGCAGGTGGTGAATGGGTTGAAAAAACAGTGAAAGTGACAAGAGAACGGCTGATAAGTGGTAAAAAACTATTTTGCTTTAATTTAAGTAAAGATCTACAATTTCAGGTGACTCCCTTCCATTTAATAAGCGTAATACCTACCTTTGCTAAATGGAATGAATGTATATAATAGTAAATGGAATAAATGGAATGCCCACCTTTGTTCGAAAGCAGTTAGCTTTTTCTTGTTCTTCACAGCATGTTTTAGTCATCTCCTCAAAACGAGCAGCAACAGTTAGAAGTGTAGGAGCAAAAACGAAGGGGTTCCTTCTGGAAACTTCATAGACATAACTTCAAAAGAAAAAAAAAGGAAGGAAGAAGGGAAGGGGGAGAAACAGGAAAGAAGTGAAGGAATCATAGACAAGGGAAGGGAAAGAGAAGATTAAAAAAGACAAGTTCCAGTTGCGAAAGTGAAGGTGAGAGGAAGGATTTCCCATTACTGAGGCTTCAAAGGAAGGCAACATTACCGAGTCTCCAAAAATGTCACACCACTGAAGTTCCCAACTCCCAAAAAGTAATGATAATTGCAGTTCTCATCATGAATGCAAGGCCCTGGCTATTCTCTTTTCTTCCCCATAATGCCAGATGGTCCGCAGCTCTCCTTGTCATGAAAGAACAGCAACCTATACAGACTCCATCTGAGATCCAGAGATCGTAATCACTTAACATGTAAAAAGAAAACTTTGTGATTTAAGCTTTCCAGAAAAAGTCTCTGCTTCTGCAACTATTGCACTGCTAAACATCCATTGACTTAATGTTTATCTTTGGTAAAACCGCACCTTCCCTTTTGAAAGACCGTATATTTCCTCCAGCAGTGCTTTCGTACCTTGCACACACTTGGGTTCTGGGGCTTATCCCATTAGAAAATACACATCATTATTGAAAGGATCTTGAAAGCAGGTTTCGTATCTTGTTCATCTTCTAAACAATGACCACAGAATCTGACACACAAATGCAGGTTGAATAAACTAATTGATCTGTAAACCCAGCTATGTTCCTTTGGAATAGATATTGAATTTAGCCTAAGAATTGAAGAATTATCTTCAATTAGATGCTTTTTCTACTAAAATTAAACTTACTTATTCAAAAAAGATTCCCTGTTATTTTTGTAAGTCTGGCATTTCTCTTCAGGATCCAGGGTAGGGAGAGGAGGCAAAAATCCTATATCAGCTTTCTTATTATGGAAGAAACAGAGTCTTCTTTCAAAGTCACCCTTACGGCAGCAGTGTGAAAAGTTATACTTTTGTGGCAGTCCCTCCATGGCACATATATTTTCCAGTAAAACCTCATTCTGGACAACAGAAAAGGAAAAGACACATTTAATTCATTGCAACATTTCTCAGGCTTCTGAGATGGCACAGTGGAGACAGTGAGAGGTGAGTGTCACTCTTTGAGAAAGAGATTCCAAGATGTTCCCAATATTACCAGCAAAGCATCTCTACCCACAGCCTTGACAACCATCCTACACTTTGGGAAACTCTCTCTATCCTATCCTGAGTCCCCTTGACCTCTTCCTATCTCTCTTCTGCCTACATCGCCCTTACATAGTGACTTTTTTTCTTCTTTCACAAGGTAACAGTGTCAGAGTGTAATGCGTTGGTAAAGTATTTAGTAGTAATGTTTAGTAATAGCTTTCTAGAGATGCAGATGGTTGCTCTATTGGGAGGATGCCAAGAAAAGGGGCTGTGACAGAGAGTACATATTGAGAGGCAGGTAAAGAAAGTAACTTTACTTCCGTGCACTTTGCCAGGCTATTGGTTTAGTCTTCCTGCCTGTGTACTTATGGCATAGACTGCAAACTCATAGCCAAGTCCTCCTGGGCGTCAGTACACAGAATTGCCTCTCTCCTAAGAAAGTGCCTTATCCTAAACACCGAAGTCAGGCAAAGTAACCACAAGAGCATAGAGCATCTCTCTCTATTTTCAGGCCAAAAATTCTCTCAGTGTTGACAAATAAGCTTGTTTGTTTAAGAAATGCAAACAATTTACTTACAGCTAATTTTGAACACTCTGGGAGTGTCCTGTCAGCCACGCATTTATCTCTGTATCCTGTCATGGCTTTTACCAACATTTCTACTTCTTCAAAGGATGCCTCCTGAATATATTGAGCAAATGCAATGATGGTGCTGCAACAGTTCACACAGAGTACATAATGATGACCTGCAGAATTTCCAGTTATGTCCAACCAAAATCTCACAGGAATACCCACTTGCTGACTAACCTTAGAAAATTATCAAAATGTGAAGTCTCTAAGTTTTATAACTTCTTGACAATTCAATTGCCTCATCTGAATTTTTCTTTAATACTGTATTCACTTTTTAATATGGTATTATTTAATCAATATATTAGCATTAATAATTCTGGAAGATGTCAGATAAACTGATAATAAACACCATCATCATCAAAACAAGTTTAGAGGAACTCACATATATCCAATGTTATCCTCTATAAATTTCTGGGTGATTCTGACATCATCTGAAAGCAAAGATATTTAAGTTATTATATATCCTGGTATTTTAATATTTTACCAATAAGTTACTATATGTAACACATTTTAAAAGTGTAAAATAAAAAATGATATAGAAAAACTAGCATATTTAATATGAAGAAGAAACATCATGTGAGCCAAATATTACATCTTAATCACAGTTGATTATGTGCTTAAAAGTATTCATTAAGTGAATTGGCTTGAATTAATTTAAGACTCACCAGACTTTAGATTTACTATTGATGGCTCCCCAGCCACAAATGTCAAACACAAGCACCATTTCCATGCTAGATGACAGGTATAACTAGGAAAGTAATATGAAGTTTCACAGTTAAGTGATATAATGCTACAGTTGTGCCCAGCAAGAGATGCCAGGCATGCTGATGGTAGTGTAAATTATGATGCTAGTCAGACACAGATATTTAGGTGATCTCTGAACTAGTCTAACACCACTGGTTCCTTTCCAATAAGCATATACTTATCAGAACACATTTATATCAGTTCATACAGGCTATTTTCATGGAGTCTTTACTTTTTCAAAGTACTGCACTGGTTACTATGAGGCAACCAATGATAACTAAAACATCTCCCCTGGACCTTAGATTCCTAAATACTGTCATAGTGCAGGTGACTCATGAACATGACTGTAATCCAATGTAGAATGTATATGATATTCTACATTAAAGTGGGTACTAGACAGCTTATTAAAAAGCATAGACATTACTTTGCTGACAAAGGTCTGTATAGTCAAAGCTGTGGGTTTTCCAGTAGTCATGGATGTATGTGAGAGTTGGACCATGAAGAAGGCTGAGCATCGAACAATTGATGCTTCTGAACTGTGGTATTGAAGAAGACTTTTGTGAGTCCCTTGGATTGCAAGGAGATTAAACTAGTCAATCCTGAAGGAAATCAATCCTGAATATTCATTGGAAGGACTGATGCTGAAGCTGAAGCTCCAAGACTTTGGCCACTTGATGAGAAGAGCCAACTCATTAGAAAAGTCCCTGATGCTGGGAAAGATTGAAGGCAGGAGGAGAAGGGGATGACAGAGAACCAGATGGTTGGGTGGCATCATTGACTCAATGGACATGAGTTTGAGCAAGTCCCAGCAGATGGTGAAGGACAGGAAAGCCTGGCGTGCTGCAGTCCATGGGGTCCCAAAGAGTCGGACATGACTGAGCGACTGAGCAGCAACCACGTATAACAGGAATGCTTATGGTCTCTGGGTGAGGAACCAGAAAAGGATTATAGGAAGAGGGGTATGTAAGTTGAGCCTAAAAAATGTCCAAGATTTCAGCTAACTGAGAAGCTGAAGGAAGCTCATCTTTCTGTGTGGAGAGAATGATGTGAGTAAAAGCACAAAGGTAAGAAATCCTGGGATGTTTGGGGAACATCAATTAATCAATTAATCTCCCACTTTGATGAGAAAGTGAGTCATAAAGAAACTTAATGGAACCAGAGACAGGAAGAACCTGGATCCAGATTATGTATGCCTTTCATATAAGCTGAGGAGTTTGGGCCTCAACTGGAAACCATGAAGAGCCACTAAAAATGTTTATATAGAATAGTAATATCATCATTTCTCTAAACTAAGAAATATCAGCCAGGTAATGGTATGTCTGATGTTCTGGGATCTCCCACAGTACCTAACAAATAGAAAGTAACAAGAACTATTTGTCCAATAGATGTAAGAATGAATGGATGGAGAGGAGGAAATCAAGAAGCTCATTAGGAGAGTTTTGCAACTGCCCTGTTGAGAAATCTGCTGGACTTTGGTAGGAGTAATGGAAGTGCAAAAGAAAACGTGGATGCAGAAAATATTGGAGTCAAAAATCAACAGAACTTTTTTTAAAACGAGTTTTTACAAGGGGCAAAGGAGAAGGAAAACTCAAAAATGACTATCCTTCTTTAAGCCCTGTGTCTGGGCTCACTAGCAGGCATTGTGGTGGTGGTGGTGGTTTAGTTGCTAAGTTGTGTCCAACTCTTGTGACACCATAGACCGTGGCCTGTCAGGCTCCACTGTCCGTGGGGATTCTCCAGGCAAGCATACTGGAGTGGATTGCCATTTCCTTCTCCAGGGGATCTTCCCGACCCAAGAATCAAACCCAGGTCTCCTGCATTGCAGGCAAATTCTTTACCAACTGAGCTACAAGGGAAGCCCCAGCAGGCCCTGGAGCGGGTACCAAATTAAGACATCATCCACAACTTCAGGGCGTGGAAACACTTATAGCACCTTGGTGAACTGCAAAAAGATGGTCTTTCAGGCCAGAGGGATTACAAAAAAACACCTCCAAACAGATGAAGTTCAAAATGTTCCCTCTTTGAGTAGAAGAAATATAAAAGTCACACCTTCCTCCAGGCTAACACTGCTCCAGCAAGGCTTGAGGAAATGTACAGGCTTGCAGGGATTTAAAAATTAATTCCCCAAGTGTGTACAGTTGGAAGAAGCAGGGTCTGCATACTCTTAAGGTGTTTACCACATTATTAGGAAATACAACGAACGACCAAAGTTCCAATAGAATCTCAACTCATGTCTAATGTTCCACTGTTTCCATACACTACACATATTTGCAAAAAACATTAATATTTTCAAATCCAAATTATATCTCCCAGCAACACTTCTTATATTACCATTATGCTGGTGACCGATTGCTGGGTGTGATAATTGTCTCTGTCAGTAGATAAGGTAATATGACCCAAAATACAATATCTGGCAAGGTAAGATCAGGGTATCTGATCAGTATATGTAAACTAGGGAGAGGGAGAAAAAAAGCAAGTGAAAATTTAAACTGAAAGAGACCAAGTTAAAAAATAGAAATTAGCCCAACTTAGTCATTCCTTAGGGGATAGACAAGTAAATTTCTTACCTACGTCTTGAGGCTGTGTGGGCAAGGTTAGGGATTCAGTCAAAAAGAAAAAGAAAATAACAAAACCTGTAAGTTTTAACTGTTTCATTTTTTAAGAAATCACATTCACAAAAGAAAAGTAACATGAATGAGGAAAATCAAGTTTTTATATTATTCTTTGACACTATTAGTAAAAAAGTAACTTGCTTAACCTATTTCTCATATACCTCATATTTGATTTTTATTTGATCACTCTGCAGAATTTTTTGCTAATTATTAACCAGGAAAAAAATCCTCTCAGTGTTTTACTGGAAAAATCTATTGAGTTAGAAAAAGAAGTCCACAGGTTAAGTATGCACAATACCTAGTCAAACAGACAACCAAAAATAATCCTGAACTATTTCAAATGCTAAAAGAGAAAGGACAAGAATAAATAATTCACCAAAGAGGAAGCATAACTAAAAAGATGCTAAACTTCTCTGATAATCACAAGGAGTTGAATTTACAATAAATAATTTTATATACTTGATAAAATTAGGGGAAAAATGAGATGTTATTCTAGTAAACATATAGCAAAGCAAGTACCCACAAAATCAAAGTTTCTGAACAAGTTTATTATAAGAATTAATAGCCTTAAAGATGTTTGTGTTTTTCATGTTGATGTCTAACAGAAAACCAACAAAATTCTGTAAAGCAATTATCCTTCCATTTAAAAATACATAAATTTTAAATTTTATAAAGAAGATGTTTGTGTTATTTCAACCAGTCACTCAAATTCTGGGAACCTATACTAAGATCATGATCCTAAATAAGGAAATATTTTTAGTACGTGATATAAAAGAAGAAATCTATTTCTTAGTTATGGCCACTAAAAGGACACAAAAATAATAGCTACCAGGAAGCTCTTTGGGGCCCTTGGAGCCTATTTTGTGCCTCTATCAGATTTTAAACACTCTTCTCCCCTGTAAGAATCCTGGACTTCTAAAACAATTTTCAAAAACGATTGGGGACATGTCTAAAGAAGATAGAAATCAGTGGGACAATTTGACAATAAAGTAAATAATGAAAGGAATGCATTATAACACATTAAATTTTTTTTTAATTCCATGAATCTATACGAATACAAAATTAAAATAAAAGGAGAGGGAGCAAAAGCTCTTCTCTTTTTAAGAAGATCAACTAATAAATGTAAATAATCATTTGTAACTCTCACAGTAGCAACTGATCTAAATCGGTTTCATGAATGGGTGCTAAAGTTACTGGTGAGAAACTATCAGACAAAGGCACATTTACAGTTTTAAACTCTAACTCCATAGATTACTTATTAATTACCAAGGAAAAAGACGTCTTTACAGATGGATAAGCAAACAGTGGTATAGAGAAAGAGAAGTGGGGAGAGAAAGAGACAGAGGTAGATAAAGTAAAAGGGAGAGGGAGAGAGATAGAGAGAGACTGAGGTTTCTGCAACTGGCTTGGTCAGCATCTTTGATTGCAACCAGTAAATGTCACTAATCATGCTGACCTCTAAACAGCCTTTTGTCATTTCAACTATTCAACTATTACATCAACTTGCTTATCATTTTCTTCTCAGCTATGTTACTTATGACTTCTGATTACTGGTTCATGCCTGGCACTTACGTGAAGATGGCTCCAGTTCATTTAGTTCACAAGTTTAACCCCCCTATCACTGATAGGAATGTGATCTTGTTAGTGACTGTATGAAATAAAAGAGCAGTCTGTGCTGAGTTAAAAACTTAATGTATTTAAGCCAAATTTCTTCCTGGTCATTTTGAATGTGCCTGGAATTATCTAACTGCTAACTCCCTTGTTAACGATAAATAAACTTTGAAACTTACTCAGATAAACATGCCTAAGAAGTCTGGCTTTAGCTATATAGACACATACCTATACATAAGGATACTGGGGAAAAAAAGAGGGAGGTAACCAGCAGAATAGTCAAAATCTTGAGAAAATCTCAGAAACTAGCACAGATGGGATCTAGTTGATAGAGAAAATAAATAAGAAGGAAGCTGATCTCCAAATATGGAAGATAAGAGCAACCTTCCCTCGAAGCTCTGAGTCTAAAGAGCGATATAGGCTATAGGGCGATAATCAGGAGAACAAGCTAGAAAGCTACATTCGGAACAGTTCAATCAGAAGGCACCACTTCCTTCTCTCTTTACCACCACACACATGTAGAGAGCAAACAGGTCTCAGTGGTTACCTCTAAGTCAAAATCTAAAAATGACTTTTTCTTAGTTTAGGTTTTCCAAAAGCAGACCTCCAAAGACCTGTAATTTATCTTGAAGATGATTGAAGGAGGCACAGATGAGGAAGTGAAACCAAGAAGTGAAAAAAACTAATAAAGGAGATGTTAATGAGAAGAGTAACCATGTAGGCAACTGGGTGTAACCCTGTCTGAGGAGTGGAAGATGATTTCCTAGAATTGTCTCGGCCAGAAACTGGGAAGCTGGAGCATTTACCCGCTGACTGAGGGATGACCAAGTAGTATAATTATAAAAACCCTAAGGAGAAAAAATACTGAGCTATTTTTTTTCACAATTTTAAAATTTATGTTTTTATTGAAGTATAATTGACATATAACATTGTATCAGTTTCAGGTATACAACACAATTCATTATTTGTCTACATTACAAAATGCTGACCACAATAAGTCAAGTTAACACTCATAAGCATATATAGTTACAATTTTTTCTTTTTTATATTGAGGACTTGTAAGACCTACTCTTAGAAACTTTCAAATATGCAATAAAATATTATTAACTGTAGTCACTATGCTTTTGACCCTCCTGTTCATTTGGTTTGTGCATCTCTGCTTGCCATCCAGCAATCACCAATCCGTTATCTGTGTCTATGAGCTTAAGCTGTGTAGTTGGTTGGTTGGTTTTGTTTTTAGATTCCATATATACGTGAGATCACATGGTAGTTGTCTTTCTCTTTCTGACTTACTTCACTTGGTATGATAATCTTTAGTTGCATCCATGTTAGTGCAAATGGCATTATTTCATTCTTTCTAATGGCTGAGCAAAGCAGCACTAATAGATAATAAAACATTTTAAACTAGCATAATAATTAAAACAGTGTATTATTGGCAATCAAGAGAAAGATACATACAATTAAAATTTTTAAATTAGGTTCAAATGCCTATCCATGCACTAGGAAAATTCCAAATAGATCACAGATCTAAATGTTAAAAGGGAGTGGGGAGAGCAAATGTACTAGAAGAAACACAAGTACAATGGAGACAATTGTCCTACGATACAAAATTCAGAGGCAGTAATAAATTCTACTACCCCCAAAAAGTTTTTAAGACTGTATATGGAAAAATATTATACAGAAAGTCACAAATGCAGAGGAGAAACTGAGAAAAGATAGCTGCAATCTATCAATATACAAGAGACCCTGAAATAGGAAAGGAAAAAATACCAACAATCTGATAGAAAAATAGCAAGATGATATAAGCAGATGGTATGCAAAAAGAAAAAACATTTAAAAGGATCTTTAATCTAAAAAAGATGCTCATAATAGGAAAAATGAATGTCTAGCAACACCATAGCACCATTCCTCATTTATCTGACTGGCAAAAATCTAAAAGTTTGACAACATACTTTGAGGATAAAACAGGTGGAGAAATAGGTCATCTTATCCAGAGCTTCTGCGAATGCAAAATGGTGGTGCAATACCTGTAGAGAATTTGGCAATATCTAAAAAAATATGTACTTCCCATGTGGCTGAGTGGTAAAGAATCCGCTTGCTAATACAGGACACACAGGTTCAATCCCCAGGTTGGGAAGATCCCCTGGGGGAGAAAATGGCAATCCATTCCAGTATTCTTGCCTGGGAAATCCCACGGACAGAGGAGCCTGGTGGGCTACAGTTCTTGGTGTCACAAAAGACCCAGACACAACTTAGTAACTAAGCAACAAAAAAAATATATGTATTTATCCTTTGAAATTTAGAAATTTGTTAGAAACAAATTTTTAACAGGTACAAAAATAAAAATAAAATGAGCTTCCTGGTGGCTCAGACAGTAAAGAATTTACCTGCAAAGCGGGAGACCTGGATTTGATCCCTGGCTTGGGAAGATCCCCTAGAGGAGTACATGGCAACCCACTCCCAGATTCTTGCCTGGAGAATCCTCAGGGACAGAGGAGCCTGGTGGGCCCCAGTCCATGGGGTTGCAAATTTGAACAGAACTGAGCTACTAAGTACACACATGCTAAAAATATGCTACCAATATGATTAAACAACTAAAGCATTAGGTTCTTCTCTGTGGCATTATTTGCATTAGCAAAGGATTAGAAATTATCCAAGTGTCAATACAAGGTCAATTAAAAAACTATAGCCCTAATCACACAAAGAAATTTTGTGCAGCTGTTAAAAAATTGAAAAAAAAAAAGTATGCATAATATGCAGTGGTCACCAAGATTATATTTTTAAGTGTAAAAAGGTGCAGAACAATATATTCAAGTATGTAACCCCTTATGTAATATAGGTAGAATGGTGTAATAGGAAAATTATTTATATACATATTTGCTTAACTGTTAAAAATAAAGAAGAGAATGGATAACCAAGCCCTGAGAAAAGCTGTTATCTATAGGAGGAAGGGAGAACAGGGCAGAAGGAATACAGTGTCTAAGTTACTTCAAGCTGCTATAACAAAACACCATAAAGTGGGGGGCTTATCAACAACAGAAGTTCATTCCTCTCAGCTCTGGAGGCTGGGGATCTGAGATCAGGATGCCAGCCTGATCAGGCTCCGGTGAAAGGTCTCCTCAGGGTTGCAGGCTGCCAAAATCTGGTGCTGGCTTCACATGGCAGGAAAAGGGTATCAGGGTAACACTGGCCTCACAGAATCAAGGTCCCTTCTCTTCAGTTTTTTGGAAGAGTTTGTATAGAATTAGTATACTTTCTTCCTTCAGTGCTTAGTAGAATTCACCAGTTTTCTGGAGTTTTATGGGAATGATCTTAACTAAATTTTGCATTTCTTTAATGGATATAGAAATAATCAGATTATCTTTTTTTTAAGGGAGCTTTGGTAGTTTGTATCTTTCAAGGCATTTGTTCATTTCATCTAAGTTGTCGAATTTATTGGCAAAATATTTTTCAAAATATTCCTTTATTTTGAT